TTTTTCACATTTTGTCTCTTTACAAACACAAACCTTAAAGTATTTTATTGAGATTTTTTGTCATAGACCAACACAAAGTAGCACATAATTGTGAAGTGGAATGAAAATGATGCATGGTTTTAAAAAATTTAAACAAATAAAAATCTGAAAGTAAGAGACTGACATTTTTGCCCATTTGTCTTTGCAAAATAGCTCAAGCTCAGCCAGATTGGATGAAGAGTATCTGTAAACAGCAATTTTCAATGGGATTTAGGTCTGGACTTTGACTTGGCCATTCTAACACATGAATATTCTTTGATCTAAACCATTCCATTGTAGCTCTGGCTGTATATTTAGGGTTGTGTCTTGCTGGACGGTGAATCTCTTTCCCAGTCTCAAGTCTTTTGCAGCCTCCAACAGGTTTTCTTCCAGGATTGCCCTGTATTTAGCTCCATCCATCCTCCCATCAACTCTGACCAGCTTCCCCGTCCCTGCTGAAGAAAAGCATCCCCACAGCATGAGGCTGCCACCACCATGTTTCACAGTGGGGATGGTGTGTTCAGGGTGATGAGCAATGTTACTTTTCCGCCACACATAGCGCTTTGCATTCAGGCCAAAAAGTTCTGATACAAAATTACACACAGGTGGACTCTATTAACTAATTAGGTGACTTCTGATGGCAATTGATTGCACTGCATTTTATTTAGGGGTATCAGAGTACAGGCAATTATGACAATAGTGTGCTACTTTGTGTTGGTCTATGACAAAAAATCTCAATAAAATACTTCGAAGTTTGTAGTTGTAGAGTGACAAAATGTGAAAACATCCAAGGGGTATGAATACTTTTCAAGGCACTGTAGTTAAATAATACACAAAGAGATGGACTAGAATTCAGTAAGACTAAATACTGAGTGAAGAGTTTGTGACTGTATTGTTAGGATATGGCAGAAAGGGCCAGGAAAGGATTGACTGATTCAAGAGGATACACTATGAGCCATCTTCTGGCTAAGTTATAATATAGAGAGTATTTAATGTCGTCGCTTTCTCCTGCTTCATCCGGGTCTGGGTCGCAGGGGCAGCAGCTTCAGGAGGGAAGCCCAGACGGCCCTCACCCTAGCCACTTCCACCAGCTCCTCCGAGGGGATTCCCAGGTGCTCCCAGGCCAGGCGAGAGATATAATCCCTCCACCTGGTCCTGGGCTGGCCTCTAGGTCTTCTCCCAGTGGGACATGTCTGGAACACCTCTAAGGGAGGAGTATTTAATGTATTTCTGTGAGATTTGTAGAGACATTTGTGGGGCCAGGAAGATTTACCAAAATGATCAGTGCCAACAGTTCCTGCAGAGTTAACTTTCCAGATTTCTTGTGAAGAACTGCAACATCTGTTCAATGCATGGCATTTATGATCTCATCAACACGTCATCTTACGCAGATATCAACTAACATGTTAAACTTAGAATGGAAATATCTTCATATCATCCTAACTTTGGCTCTATAGTATTATCATTTTCTACATCTTGATGATGGCATTTCAATTAACACCTTGGTAGAGACTTGAATACTGTGGCATAAAAGAAAACTAAGTATATCAGCAGTGGTCGTATGGTGTAGGCCCTAAATACCATCAGACCTTTTCAGTGTTCAGTTTTTATTTATTGCATTTTATTTATGACTCATGCAGCTTGTGGTTTTTTCAGATATCAGTCAACCACCTGGAGCCTGACATAGAAGGAAATATTTAGAGACCAAAGTGTGTGATTGAAAATCTCTGGCAAATCAACATACTTTGGTCTCCAAGTGTTCAACTAAACATAACTCTGTACTTGGAAGGTGAATAACAAAAAAATAACAAAAGAAAACTTACCACCAACATGCAACATATTTACCCAATGAAACAAAGAAAATCATTATTTGGCTAGGAAGACTATTAATGTATTAAAATTATTCATTTAAGTGTTAACGCACAAGGAGGTTTCACTGACAAATGCAGGAGTACATATAAAAGAACACACTTCAGGCAGCATGAATTTTGCATCAGACTACGTTCATGTCTGGCTGGATTTCTGTCTTCTTTCTGAATTTCTAATTCAAACACTGTAGAGATTACTTACAGACCATCTTAGCACTTCAGTGTAATATCTGTACATTTATATTTGGGGATCAATAAAGTTCTTCTTCTTCTTCTTCTTATTGCTTATGGTTAATGGTTAAATAATATCACTGCATTAATTGTATTTGTACAACAGAGTTTAAGGGCCACATTAAGAAAAAAAAATTAAGACTTTGAGATGAAAGTCTTAATTTAACAGGATAAAGTCATTACTAATGAGAATAAAGTCGTAATAAAGTAATTACTTACGAGAATAAAGTTGTAATAAAATCATTACTCACGAGAATAAAGTCTTAATAAAGTCCTTATATTCTAACCTGTTGTTTAAGATGACAGTTGTTGAAATGAGAGCCATGGAGCATTTCGTGAAGATTTACTTTAATATAGGTGTCTCAAACAAGGAGATACTTAATCTTTTGGCACATCAGCACCACATAATCAGAAGTATCATAATGATTTTATTACGACTTCATTCTCGTAATTACTTTATTACAAATTTCTCAGTCTTTTTTTTTTTCTTAATGTGTCCCTAGTACTCCATTGTATATCTGAATCGTAGTACAATCTTAACTTTTACCCCCAAGTGGTCACACATGGTTTTACAAACCCTTAATCAACTGTGCAGTGCTCATCACTTTAAAGTTATAGTTCGCTTTTTAGTCAGGTAAGGAGATATGTTTTTATCTCAAAATTTTTAACTCATTCCCCCTAGATTAAAGTAATCTTGCTATTTGCTTTAATGAATCATCTACATTAGAAACAAAGAATTTCCCCTATTTTTTCTTTCTTTTGTCAAAACCAGTTCAAGTCTCCTTTTTATTGTTGTAAAATTGACAGCAAGGCAGCTTCTTCCTTCATTGCTGGATAATGGTAATATTATCTAGAGACATGCTGCTGCTCCCACCCTCAAATCTCTTGACTAAGTTTATCACTCAACTCTTCAATTCATATTTGGAGACAACACCCATCTCTGTATTGTGTGTACCTAAGGTTTTTGGTCTTCTCTGGCCTCGAGGGGCAAGATTAAAACTTGTATCTTTTATCTATAGACCTTTTAGCGGACATTTACCTCTGTATCTAAAGACCCACTCCGATGAAAATCATGTTTTTCTTGTTGTCTACACGTTCATATGGCATTTTTCTGATGCTACAAAATATATGCAAAAACTAAGGGCAGAATTGCATTTTGGAGAATTTCTTCATTCAAATAGCTGTGAACCTCTAGCAGACCCAAACAGCAGGCTCAGACACAGAGAGATTTCCTACCTCACCAATCCAAGCCCTGCCCCTGAAGCCCGGGCCAGACTCTGAGAAGTAAAGAGGATGATCGGGGAACAAGTTTGTGTGGTAGCAGATTGCAATGCTCATAAGAAAGCTGATTATGATATTAGCTGTTCCGAAAGACATTCGTGTCTGAGAGCTGAATAGCTCCTATGTTACCTGCTACGTCTACTACACCGTTAATGTTAGGCTACAAGGTAGTGTGAAGAGGAGTGTGCAGAGCAGTGCTGTCTCTGCCCATGACTCAGAGATGAATTGCTAATGAGCTACTGGAGCTCTGCAGGAGAAAAGACCTTGAAAATGACAGGGGTAACAAGATTTTAGCTAAAAACGTCATAATCACTTTATTTAAAAATTTTATTATTTTATTTTATTTAAAAAAAAAAGAATAATAGTGTGTGACTTTAAGGCCTTTACTGAACTGGACAACTACTCACTGTACAAACTCAAAATCTGCCTTTACTTTATGTATATTTTATGAAATTGTTTAAGACAGACTCCAAAAACTGACACTATTATTTACCCAGGGCAATTTAAATTGATTATCTGAAACCACTACTTTAAAGTGAGCAATCATTTTCCTTTTTTCTCCTTAATGCATCTTAACATCTCTGTAGATAAGGGAAACCACAATGATTTTGTGGCTTACATACATTTTTATTATTGTTGATTATGATGATGAGATGATAATGATGATGTGAGGGCTCAAATTTTCATCCACACAAACAAAGGAGAGCAATACCTCTTCCATAGGATGTTCTGGAAAAAGTCCTACACGTGTGCTTCAATTAAAACAATAAAGAGCCTGACACTTCGGCTGTTTTTGCTGTACTTTGCAGTTTGTGAGTGCTGAGGGATCAGTCAGAGAAGATTTGATCCACACTGACTTCCTGAGGTCAATGCTTTTAGATTTTACTTGTGAATTCTCAATCACTCATTGCAATAAATAAATAAAAATCAAAAAAAGCAACAAAAAGTTCATATGAAGAGTTGATTTATAATCAGATACTACTGTTTGAAACAGTTATTTCATTAATGGAGAGAGCAGTCGCTGTTTTTGATTTCACCAAGAGTAGGTTATATCACCGTTCAGTTATGAAACGAATTGGAGTGAGGTCGAAGTTTTCCCTAAAGTTTATCTTAATTTCTAGCAGCGTTTTGTAAAGTTCCCTGATAAAATAGGAAATTATTGCAGCTGACACACAGACCTCAGGTTTCTTTCTGCCGTGCACTCTTAGTCAGGTTACACGTTGATTACAGGCGCCTCCTGGTGGCTGTGTTGTGTCATTGCTGGGTTAAATAAACGGTCATAAACTACAGCTTTCTTTTCAATAGTTAATGCGTTTGTTCCCCTCTTTTATGCTAACATCACAAGAATCATATTTCTAATTCATGCTTGTGAGTATGAACAGATTAGTCTGCTATATTTCATTTTTTGTGGCACAGTTTTTTTCCACTTAGAGCTGTGTAGCGTGAGGAAGAGAGCTCGCGCACTCATCTTGTTTTCCCAAACCCCTCTTTTAATGAATTTTGCAGCTGAACAACCCAATGATATTAATTATATATTGTTTCTGAAGAAGAGCTCTTATGTATAATCTCTCATCTGACAAAGGAAATAAAGAGCAGGCTACAGGGTTTTCAGAGTTTTTATTTAAAAGAAATCACTCAGAAAAAAGATGATCACAAACAGAACTACAGGAACATGGAAAAGATTTGATTTTTGGAAATGCCCATGTGGTCTGCAGCCGTGCTGAGGTAAAACTAGCCACAGTGCAGAGGGCTGAGAGGCTGCAGAGGCATCAAATTCAAGCTGGCATGAACAGAGAGCTACAGAGTTTTCAGAGAAATACAAAGAGTGTATTCAATGAGAGAGAGCAAATTTTAAGATTTTGCTTCTTTATGGAACACATTATAGCACAATACAGATAAATAAAAATACAGTACAGTGTTTGATTCAGCACAGTGACTAAATGTGGCTGATTTGCTGCTACAAAAAAATCAGAGCATCCTTTTTTTTCTATGTAAAAGTCCCAGCACTGAAAATACGCTCCCTGCCATAGTAAAAACCTACAGTGGTTTCAACGTAAAACACAGCACAGCAGTTTGTTTGAACATTCAGCCTTCAAAAATGACACAGAAGACAAAAGAATGGCAGTGTTTTCTTAAGCACTGTCTGTTTCTTTCTCTGAAGAAAAAAAAAAGAATAAATAATATACAAACTTGAAAAAAGGAGGAAAAACTACTACACCTGTTTTGAGTTTCTTTTTTTGACAAAATTAACCAGCCTGATAACAAAGGGATGTCATCAAGAACACTGTGTACCACAGAGGGTTACATTAGATTTACTCTGCTGCCAACATTACAGGGTGTCTGTTTGCTGCTCCAAGCACCAATAGGCCTTCTTATCCAGGTCTGCTGAGGACGTCTTACACATTTCATACTCTTCTTCTCTTCCCTTTTTCAGTCTCCTCAAAAATTACAGCAGCGGGAATTATCTCAGGAAACCCTCTGGCTGCTGCCATCTGCCACCTCTGTTCCTTCCCCTGTTCCCCTCTCTTCCCCATCTCACTGACTCCTCCAGCGATTCTTCGGTTTCTCCTCACACCCTGGACCTTCACAGGTGCCAGGGAATGGAGGCGGAGGAGCAGGTGCAGCCTTTGTGGGTGCAGGCTTGTCAGTAGCCTTGCTGACACTGCTCAGCAGAGCTGGGAGCTCGTGTGAGATTGCCCTCTCGATCTTGTCCAGCAAACAGCCAGAACTCCAGCTGCAGTGGTACGAAAGCTGTTTGAAGCCAGAAACTGGATTCACACCAAAGAAGTCTTGGTAGGCCTCTTTGTCTGGGAGGTCGAACTTGCTGACGTTGGTTTTTGCAAGGATGGATTTGAAGATGTAGTACTTGTCTGGGTCGTTGACGATGTCTTGGAAGACCTCGTAGGGGTCACTGAACCAGCCTAGCTTGTCGTTGTAGGTCTGTAAGTAGCGGTCCACCAGCAGAGCATGGATGCGCACACGGATGCCATGCTGACGAATGAAGGCGATCTTATTCTCTATTTGATTCTCAATCACCTGAAGAGAGAGGAGGAGAGGAATGAGGGGGAGAGAGACAGATATGGAGAAAGAAAAAGACTCTGGATTAGAGAGGAGAAGTGTTTGCAGAGCAATAAAAATGTCATCTTCACATCATTTATGACTGTGATTACAAATGAGAGTCAGGGCAGTGATCTGGGCTTTATTTGAAAATCTGACTGGCAATACCAAATGCCACCAAATAATTAATGTTGATGATTTTGTATCTGCTCGGTCAAAGGTAAAAATCATGATCAAATCAAATAGTTGGGCTGTTTTGCTGAAGACTGCTTGTAATCGTAAAAATTTTAACGTGTCACATTTTCTTTTGTTGTTGCTATTATCGTCAATTTAGGAGGAATGTGTTGATGTTTTTTACATTTAACAACTCTAGGTAAAAAGAAGATACCTTGATTGTAGTAATAAGATCAGCTGAGAGAGAAAAGCAGAGGGTTCAATAACTTTGTGCCACCCCTCCATAAGTTATTGGGAGTTTGGCCACCCCAGTCTGAAGGTCTGGACACACCCCTGATCAATGATCACTGAGTGCTAATCGCATGAAAGTGCATTGATGATTAATGAAATTGGCTTTAAGTCACTAAATCTATCTTTGTGTATCTAAAATGAAGAATTCTTAATGTTACTAAATGAAGTCATGCCTGGTTGAGGTCCTCCAGCAGAGAGGTCTCTTCCTTTATGAACAGTTCCTTGTTCGTGTCGGCAGTGTAGTCCAGAGGCCAGAAGGAGCTGACATACACCCTAGGAGGTTCTGTGACATTAACAAGAGGGGCCATGCTCCAGAACAAGGCTCCGTACACCCTCATCAGGTCCTGAGTGCTCAGACTATCAGCCTTGTTGAGGATGAGGCGGATCTGGGACTCGCGGCCCTTCATCTGCTTGAAGAGCATTTCCAGCTCCCCGCCAACATCCAATTTGGTGGGGTCAAAGACGAGGAAGATCAAATCAGCTCGGTCAATGAACCACTGACACACTTCATTATAGGGGTAACCTAAGGGAAGAGATACAATAGATAATGGATCAGATTTCAGATATATGACTTATGGCTTTAAATTAAAATTCTTGATGCAACAGGTGATGTATAACAGCCTTTCTACAGCTGGTAGATAGGAATTTTGTACACAACCATGAAACAATAAATGCCGGCTTTTTGTAGTGTTGTTATGAAAATCTTTCAGCGGTCACCTCTCTCCTGCTGCTTGCGGTTTTCAATGATGCCCGGTGTGTCGACGAAAGTGACCCTCTCCAATAGCTTGTGGGGCATCTCGATCCCCACCAGACGCTCCAGGAAGCCTTGACCAAACTTCTCCAGAGGAGAGAAGGAGCGTGAGCTGTCAGCTGCCATGACGATGCCCTCTATAGTCCGAGACTTCTCACCGTGCATTATGACTGTGTATTCTGAAGTGGTGGGCTCCGCACCTGTGGTGTGAATGTGGTGATAGATGTAGAATATCTATTAGTCATTTGTTGCTCAGTTTCATTTGACCTAATATATGTAAACTTAAGTTAGCTCAGGCAATGCAACATTTTAGATAACAGATATGCCACATAGCATTAATTGACACAAAAACACCTTTATATTTACTTTGTATTTGTGACTCTATTTTAACTAATAATCGGTTTATCAATTCATTCAGAAATTGGCAAGCAGATATATTTTTTCAGAGACACTGTATGTAAACAAAGACAAACCAAACTTAATGTTCTGTATTAATTTTGTTGTATAGAGGGTGATTTTTGTTGTATATTCCATCACTTCATTACACTAGGCCAGTTGCAGCCTAGTAGCATTAAAAGCCACACTTTGTAACTTCTGAAGAATAAATCAAAGTATTTAACTTGAAATAAATGGATAAATATAGGCAAATTTAAGTGAAAAATTATGTTATTTTAGCTAATTCTACATTACGCTTTTAATTATAACATGATAATAAAGTAGAGAAAAGTGATACTTCAAAGCTACTCTTGTCATTCACAGTCATTTTTAAAAAACTTTAATTGTATTTCTTTTTTTTAATGCTAACTGTGTGCGCTAAACGGTGTCACAAACAGTCAGGTGTGCTCAGGGTGAACCTGTGTAGAGCTGCTGTGAGGTGCCATGAAGTCCTAGCAGGTAGTTTATCATTGAGGATTTGCCCACACTCCAGGGTCCCAGGAACAAAACCATGGGCTTAGATGTGACTTCACCATCTGCAGAGGTAGAGACGAGACCGACAGAGCAAAAAACAATGTGGGAATCTGCAGGATCATTTCACTCTTTGTGTTGAATCACGATACTTTGCACAAGGCTCCTTGCTCATGACACGACCTATTTAATCAGATAGCACATGCATTTAGTTGTAAATCTTTTAATGTTTAATTTTTCCAATGACTTGGAGAAGATAACTGGACAAAATCAAAATTTCAAAATGAAATCTCCAGAACATACATGTACCCTATCCCATATGAATTCTTAGGTATTTCAATTCTCCACCACAAGGGGTCCCAAAGTCCCGTTTCTCAGACTGCAGCCTCCATCCAGCTCCTGTCTTTAGCAAAACTAATCCTACTTACTCTCCTGTGTGATGGAACAAAGTTGTTGGGAGTCTGGCCCACAAAACATTTCCTCTAACTTTCAGCACATAGAGGACTTATTGTATGTCTCTGTGAGACTGAACTGAATAATGTCAGGTTCTTGTTGTTTTTCTGCGTGAATCTGACTTTGTTCTTAACTTACCTTTCATGATTAAAGGCAGTTTATATATGATATGAAGAAAATAAACAGAGTTGCTGATTATCAATAAGTTATGCGTATATTGTTTTTCTGAACCTGTCTGACACAATGACTGAAGAGCCTTACATTTCAGTGATCACAAGTTATTTGTATATTACAATAATTGACCAGATGTCAAGAGTTTATAGACACACATCATATTGCAGATGATTTAAACTTAAAAACCCTGTTGAGATTTGATATTTGCTTATATATACTTCTAAAATTAGGTTTTGGGAAGTTTGTTTTTTCTCCTACTATGTCTTCATATGTTCAGTTTAATTATGAAATTTAATGAAAGTTATGAAAGTTAGGTAAATATCAAACAGATCGTATACATTATATCAAACCCTTGCCTGTTAAAACTGTGTAAAAAATCTAAGGCCCCATGTTAAGTTGATAAGCAAAACAACCTGGAGGATTTTGTCATTATAAGATCCTGTCCTGCAATCCAGACAACAGAGAGCATTTCTAAATTGCATATTGCTTATAGTAACTAGAAGTGAAGCATATCGATCAGCAACCTTGAGGGATTTTATATCCTTAATTTATGTTCAAAAGTCAAAGTCCCAAGAAGAAAGTGAGCAGAAGTTTTTATCATAAATATTCCTGCAGAAGTCCTTTTCACTCCGACTTAACCATCAGAGGAAATGTTCAGTTCACTGTTTAAGCTTGACTTTTTTTCAATATGTAAAGTTTTTTTTTTTTCCCTAAGTAGACTGATAAGAACCTGGTGCCATGGAAACACTATCAACTGTGAAATTTGAGATTGTTTAACAGAGTTTGAACCATTTATCACAAATAAGATCAACTTAATATTATGTGTTATGATGTTTATGGTTTCAGCCGATGGCTAGGTAATAAGTAGGATAATGCATGGTGAACAGGTGGTAATGCAAATTAGAATCTCACAGGGTGAGCAAAACCTCTCCACTTCATGTCAGGGCTCTAATGTAGAGTTCCCTTGCATAAAAAATACATAAACTAATGCCTCTGTGCTTTCCTTATCATCTGACTGTAGACTTCGTTCTTATAAGACGCTGATTTACCTGTAACTTCATGCTGTCTGAGCTCATTGTACTTATAGGCCTGCTCCATTGGTTTGATGGCAGTGTGATAGATGCTCAGGAGCTTCTCCATAGCAGCTAGAGAGAAGGAAAAAGAGAAAGTGGGATGTTATAACTGGAATGAAATGGCGAGACAACAGTTTGGACAAGAGAATTATAATGTTCTTGCAGCCATCACTGATTACAGCTCGTGCTCTGGCAGCCCATGATGAATCACCCTCATAAAGTTTGTTGAATGGAGCTGAGGTGATTAACACAGACTGGCTCTGCACCGTGGCCCCTCCAAAACGAACCGATCTGGTTTAGAGAACAGAGAGGCTTTCATGCCCAGGACAGAGTTACACTATTGCACTGATTAATCACCTTGCCTCGAGACGTGTCTGCACGCTCGCACACATACACACAAACGTATTCAAACTCTCCCACTCTCAAATACCAGCCACAGAAACTAGACATCATGAAGCAATTTCCAGAGTACTTTCAATGAAAAAGCTCCCAAAATTGTCAGAAACTTCCTTTCATTCACAGGCAGACACATCTGTTTTTCTTTTACACTGACAGAGTTACTGTAAACACTTGGCTGCATTTTTGTTTCAGAACAACACTTCAGGCATTTCCAGGTCTGAATGACATATGAAATGGTGGGCAGCACAGAAATGTTATTATTACACTCCCAGTGTGAATGTGCTGATGAGAACAATCCAGTGCTCCACATGTCGTTTCATCTCAGCTGTCTTTGTCTCTTACCTGAGAACTCAGCCGATGGTTCAACCAATCGCAGTGTGTTCTCAATGTGGGAGTGATCTCTCAGAGCCGGGCCTGCTGCCTCAGCTTCCTTAGGCTCTGAATGGGGGTCAGAAAGTCAGTCATCTGTCACTGTTAGGTCAAGAGCCCTGACATGTTCTTCTTTATCTGAATGTTAGACTGCTTGTTTGTTACGTTTATGATCCCCATTAACTTTAGCATAGCCAAAACTTATCTTTTTGGTGTGACAAGACAAAAAAAAGAAAAAAAAAACATTTTAAACATGCTCAGCATGAACCACAGAAATGACATATCACATCACTAGAAATCACACCTAAGAACTGGCACAAGTTAAAAAACATGAAATCTAAGAAACAGATGATCAGCTTACAGATAATGATCCAAGGTTTGGGTTAAACTTACAGTGCCCATGGAATTGTTACAAACACACATGTACAGACAGGTGTTTTGGCTGAGCACCAGTAAGGGTTAACACTCTTCCTGTTGACAGATATTGGCTAATAAGTCTGCAATCAGTAATCAGTATAGTCAAAAATGTGTGCGTAACATTGTAACATCTTATGCATAACTCCCAGCCAAAAATAATAAAAGTGGGTTATGAAAAAGTTCACTCCCCTACAGGAATGAGCTATTCAAGACAAAAAGTTTAAACCTGGTTGTCAGCATGTTCAATTGGTAAATGAAAATAGGTGTCATAACGTGGGTGTTAACTGGGGTCCCATTGCTTTCAGAGCCAGCCTTAAGTGGACACTTGAGGTAATGCAGTTTTATTGCTCCCTGTTGTGGATCATTTTTGACTATAAGGTTTTAGCCTATAGCAGTAATGTTTTTTTTTTAAAGAGTAAAACAGTATTTTGTAATGGTACACTTCAAAAATAAATTAAATAGATGATAGCACTATTATTTTTGTGATTTGCACTCTTATCTTACTTTTATTTACTGCTTTTCACAGGTTATTTGCATTGAATTCTATCATACCAAAACTGTATTTGATTTACAAGGAGGTAGGGTTTTACTGGACTGTAAGAGGCTTTAAGTTGCTGCTTGTCAAGTTTGTGACTGCAGAGCAGCTAAAGAGTCTTTTGAAGCACAGCTGAATTTGTTCACACTTAAAGAGTGTAACTTAAGGTCTGAATGACTGTACACACTATGCCTTTATAATGACGTATTATTTGGCCCTGTGGTCCAGATGAGGAATTAATGGCAACAAAAATAAAAAGAGCATCACTGTTTGAGTCAAGAAAAACATTAGAAGTGGAATTGGCTTGTGCTGATTTTCTTAATAGCAGCACTCCCAATAACAAACCAAACAAATTCAATGAGATTTGGAAAATGTGTTTTGAATTGTGTCTCTTTAAGTGATTTCTACAATATGTGAAATATTTTGAGTTTAATTCAATCATGTGATATCACAAAAACATGTGACCTCTTATAGCTGAAAAAACAGTAAGGCTGACCTCTATTCCATACCATCCCAGTGAAATATGGGTTTAATTTCACCAAATGAACCACAATCTGTAACCCAATAAAGCTGTCAAAGATAATTAGTACAGCCTCAGTCGAGAAGGTCACAGAATAAATCCGCTCCCCTCAGGTAAATGATTTCCTGTGTGTTGAGTGACCACACCATCTGTGCTGAGTACAGACATGACCGTTATATCAGGCTGTTGTCCATCCATCTCTGTTCTTTTCCTCTGCTATTTTAGTTTGTTTATTTCTGGACCAGAGGTTGCTGCTAATTCCCCTCCAGCTACGCACAGTGTCAGATTCTGAGGCTGTGGCATGTCAGAGAGAAGAAGACAAGAAAAGAGAGGATCTTACTGTTTGTTGTTTTATGACCTGTCTGAATTAAAGCAGCTCAGTGGAACAAGAGTCATCTTTCCAAATAGACTATTTCATGAGTTCTCATAAGAAAAAGCTAAAAGGTTTAGATGACAGATAAGTGGAGCCTTTCATTGGTTTTCAAACATATGGATTAATGAAATATACTGCTTTAAAGCTCCTCTGAGGAGTTTTAAGCTGGTTGTGAAAGTGATTAGATTAATATTGAGGTCCCCTTGTGATCTGAACATTTTAAAATAAGACTATTAATAAGAAGAGTGACCATTTCTCTACAGTTATTTTAATGTCTGAAATGAAACCTGTCTTTGCTGGGTTTAACATTGTCATAGTTTTTCAGAGAAAACTGAACAGGCTACTCAAATACACACTTTAAAATAAAGGGGACACCAAAAACCAAATAACCCCAAATCACTTTTGATTTAATACAATATGTTTGATAACAGCTGCTATTTCAAAGGTATGTGAAAGCTCCTGTTAGGAACTTTTGGTCTGTGTCCAACTCAGCGCATATCTTGTCCTCTACATGCAGAAGTAGTGTCTATTTATAAAAAGCCTCTCTCTGCTTACTTTTCACAGTCCAATCAATCATTTCTTTTGGATATCTTGTGCTGCATTTGTTAAAACAGGGTTGTTTCTTCAGCTGCTCTGTGTACACCTGCCCCTCTCACCCCTTTTAGGCTTTAAAAATGATAAAATATAAATTATCTGTCCTGTTCCTGGTGGTCTTGTTCTCCTATCAGGAGGTTTAAGATTGTGAAACCCTTTATTTTTTCGTCTGCCCTGAGGTCCACCTCAGCGTCTCTGTCACACTGGTTATTTGGTGATTCAAGACCATATCTGGTTCTTCTTTTTTGTTTTTACAACAGAAGGAGATGAAGGCCCGCCAGATCTCTGTATGTACATTCAAAAATTTACCCAGATAAAAAAAAAACATCTCTATATTTTGACCAACCTGTTTTCTAATCCATTCAGATTACTTTAAATTTTCAGGGCCTTCGTGTTTGATGTGTTTGTACCTGTAGCTTCAGGCTGTGCAGGCTCTTCTACTGTCTCCTCTTCAACCGTTACCTCCTCAACTTCTATCAGTGCCTCCTCCACCACAGGGACCTCCTCCACTGAGGTTTCAACAGGTTCCTCCTCCACAACCTGTACAGGTTCAGGTGAAACCTCCTCCACAATAGGCTCTGACTCCACTTCAGGAACCACTGCTGGTTCTGGTTCAGGTTCTGGTTCAGGCTCTGCAACCACTTCAATTTCTGCTACTGCAATCTCTTCTGGTTCTGGTTCAGGATCTGAAACCACCTCTGGTTCATAATTGACCTCTGGCTCAGGCTCCTCTGGTTCAACCAATTCACCTGCTGGTTCTGGTTCAGGCTCTGGTATTTTTTCTGGCTCTGAAACAACTTCAGGCTCTTCTGCAGTTACCTCAGGCTTAAGCTCAGGTTCAGACTCAGAGTCAGACTCAGGCTCAGGCTCAGGCTCGGGCTCAGACTCAGGCTCGGGCTCGGGCTCAGACTCAGACTCAGACTCAGACTCAGGCTCAGGCTCAGGTTCTGAAACCACTTCTATTTCTGGCTCTACCGTCACTTCTGTTTCTGTTTCTTCAGATTCAGAGCTGGACCCTACAGCCTCTTCCTCAGCAGCAGTTTCTTCCTCCTCCAAAGTGTCAGTTATCAGAGTGTCCACACTTTCCTCCTCAGCCGTCTCTGTTTCCTCCTGTGCCTCTGCGACTTCAGGTTCTGCTCCTGTTTCTTCAGCTTCTACAACCTCCTCTTGAGCTTCATCATCCCCTTCTTCCTTTGTTTCCTCAGTTTTCACCTCCTCTTCCTCAACTTCAGCTACCTCTTCGGATGCTGCCACCTCCTCAGCTACCTCTTCCTCCACCACACTCTCCTCCTCTACCTCCTCCACCTCCTCCACAGCCTCCACCTCCTCGGATGACACCTCTTCTTCTTCTACCTCTTCCTGGGAAGCAGCACCTTCCTCTTCCTCTTCCACTTCATTGTTTGATACCTCCACAGTTGAAGCATCCTCCTCTGTGGGTGCTGCATCTTCCTCCTCTTCTTCAGGCTCTGAAGACGAGGCCGGCTCTTCCTCTTCTGCAGTATCTACAGCTGATGGGGGTTTGATGCAGGGCTGGCACATAGCCCTCTCTGGGGCTGGGGTGTCATTGGAGGAGGACTGGGTGGCGTGCTCCTCCGCTGTGTCACATCCACAGGAGAAGAGGTCTCCTTCGGGCTGCTGGAGCTGCAGATGTACCAGAGGCTCTTCATCATGGATGGAAGAGCCTGCAAGGAGATCTAAAGAGGAGGAATGTGAAAATATATTATTAGATAGGTTACATCTAATGAAAATGTTATATATCTATATATGTATTTAAATGTCTCTTTTTTTTTACACTCATGATAAACATGTATAGAAATCCTCTCTAATCAGGACCCTGTAATTGTGACCCATTCCACTAAACTGTGTAAACTAGCAGGATATTTGTAGACCTGTAACCTTTGTTTGTTACATCAGCGCTCAGTCACTGGACAAGAACAGAGCAGATCAGATGTTCAGCACCTCCCTGATATAAGACTCAGGTTTCACCTCCTTGAATGGTGACACCAAAGCTTTGACTATTTGAGGCTGGTGTGCAGCAAACAGTTGTGTGAAGGATCTTAAAAGAGACTGCTGAGTGGACACAGTGGCTTTGTAATGAATATCACCAAATAATGTACTGTTTTAAAATATTATTGTTGCATGTACGTACTACTTTTGTCAAATATAGAAGGATTATTGGAATTTTTTTTCAAGAAGTAACTATTCTTTAATTATTGTAGTACTACGGTGTGCAAAAAGTGGACATTGCCTTTACTTGTTAAGGAAACTGCCTTGAACCTGGATTATGTCTAGTGTCAGCTTGTTATAATGGATGGAAAAATGGCTCTACTTCACAGATGATTTATCACCTCAGTAACCTTTTTTTATTAAGTTCATGATCTTGACTGCAAGTTTGAATGCTTTAGATACGCAGGTGTATCTAAATTTATTGGAATATAATGGGGGAAAAAATCATTTAAAGAAAAGAGTAAATCTAATATATTCATTACACATGACTAACAAGGATTTTTTGGATCTTGATAATAGTGGTCTATAGCTCAAAATAATCTGAAAATGTTAGAATATTTAAATTTGAGTTTGAGTAAATTACAATTCAAACAGTTTAAGCACTGTGTATCTCTCAGTCTCCTTCACTACACCCAAACACGATCATGGAGGAGCTGAGGATAAACTGCAGAAGGTCATTGCTGTAAAGTCTGGCTGCTCACAGAGAGTTGTATTGAAGCACAGAGTTGGAGAGTTGACACGAAGGGAAGAGTGTGGTGAAAAAAAGATGCACAAACCGCAGGGATGACGGCAGCCTTTAGAAGACGGTCAGGAAAAGTTAATTCAAGAACTTGAGAGAGCTTCACAAGGAGTGGACCTGGCCAGGTGTCAGTACATCAAGAGCCACCAGTAGTTTCTGCAGGCTGTGATGAGTTTGTCATCAACTGCTGTTTGTCCACCTTGTTTTATCAAATCCAGAGATTTTAATGCATCCATCTGCAAACAGGCTTTGTGGGGACAGTGATTTCCCTCTCCAGCAGAGCTTAGCTCCTGCCCACAATGCCAGAACTTCTTGGCCTGCTTAATGTTACAATAGTGTACTGTTTCACTGATTGGCTAGCCTTGCCTGACCTAAACCTCATTAAGAATCTATAAAGTACTGTCAGGAAGATGATGAACGACATCGATCCCAGAGATTTAGACAAACTGAAGGCGCCTGTTAAAGCAAAACTGGGCCTTCATGACACCTCACCTCCATGCCACACTGATGCAGTAATTCGTTGTAACAGAGCCACAGCCCAGCACAAAAAGCATAGAAAGAAAAGAACTTAATTGATCCCTGAAGAGAAATATTAAACGTATATACTGTCAGAAGTTGGACATTGTTTTTCAATTAATTGTAGGAAATACTACCAATAATTCTGATTTTCATGAGCTTCAAGTCATCATCATGACTAAAATAAAAACTTTTCCATGTTCAACAATTTACTTTACTTGTCTTGATGATAGAATAAATGACAGTTCACATTTTTGAAAACTGAAAAAAATCGGCAATTCCATTTTTTGAGATGAACCTAAATCATGAATTTTGAACAGTAAAAACTGTTTTTGTGTGTAGACCAAAGATAAATACCTGAGGTTGAAAAGTTGCTTCAATAGTACCTGTCAGTTAGACATTAGGATTAGGGGTTAGGGTTAAGGTTACGGTTATCTTAAATCTTAATCTATGGTTATAAATTACCTGAAGACAAACTTATTTCCAACTGAATTGAACTTGAATCAGCAAGTCTGATACAAGAATCTGGTCAGGTTGAGATTGCTTGTATGAACAATTATTTCAAAAGTGTGTTCATCAAAGTATTTAACCATTTCATATATTGTAGCACAAAATGGCTTGATTTAGGACTTCTGTGTTCAACATAGTCTTTCTAATCTGTGGGGCATCCATAGCTCTTATTTGTCATTCTCTTTCAAATACTCACTTTTTCTTTTCAACAAAAACAGTACTGTTTTATTTCAATGCTCAAATTGGTAAAATTTTGGGTTTTATATTTCATGCAGTTTCCTTAAAAAAGGCAAAAATGGTTTCACTCCTCCTTCAAGTCAATAAAAGACTGAGAGAGACATTTACAAGCTGCTCAAACACAGTGCAGATGCCTCTCAGACGTCACCATGGTTCAGCATCGTACAGCGTATTACAGTTACTATAGTTTCAAAACAATCAGTCAAATAGGAGACTCCTTCTTTACAACATCACATGCATGTACATTAGATACGTTTACAATCCAGAGTGAGGAGCACGAGGCAGTGACCTCTATTTAATAATAACTGCCTGTGAGGTCTGAAGCTTGAGATAGTGGTACACTGTGTAATATGAGGCAACTAAACGCATGTCTGCAGTTCACGTTTCAACATGGGTTAGTGTGTGGGATTAAGACTTTTAGCTGTAGGCAGCTGTCATAGGTTTAATGTTTGTGAGGCTCCTGGATCAACCAAGCAATCATGAGCAAACAGGCTGATGCTAAGGATGAGGCTAACATGTTATGATAGCCATAAACTCTTCCACTGCAATCAAGCAGAAACATCCTATGGTTAAAAAAAAAAAAAAACGTAGTTAGTGCAGGAGTGTTAAATGCTCAAATCTGCAGTTCCTATGGTGTCTTCTTCGGGCTGACTTGAGGAAACTCCATCAGCAGTTATATTAAGATTCCCACATCCATGGCCTGGTACAGATTTTTTTGTTCTGATTCATTTGTTTGTATGATAGTAAGTTCATTAGTTTTGCAAAATAATGAAAACTCAGGCATGGGTCTGACTTGACTGACAGGCAAGTCAGACCCTGGCTTTTAATGTTAGCGCAGTACATCAGCGGTGTCACAGCATGCCCATCTTTGTGTACAGTCAATGGTTGACATTGTTGTTTCAATATTTCACAGAGAGCATTTTTAGCAAAACCAATAGGTACATAATCTCTGCAACAGCACTAAATATGTGCAGCACAGCCAAAGGTCACATTGCAACTATAGCTACACAACTTCTAAAACGAAAACCCGGCTAATACTGGCAATACTGCTACACCTTTCAACCAATCAGCAGCCAGGGTTGACTCCAGGCTTCACTGCCAATTAAGTACTTGCCTGATCAGTTCAAACCATGGACTGTATATACTATAGACAACTTGGCTCTGCCTTCTGCCAATATATGGATTTGAAGCCAAAAAGCTTTCTGTATTTCCGTTTTTTTTCTCCACTCCCTGAAATCAACATTGTGCAGTAGCGTTGTACACAATCGGCGGTAGAGTCGCTGTGATGATGCTTGGCTCAAACAATGTATCCCTTGGGCAAGCTACGTAATCCTCGCAGCCCATTGGCTGTATCAAGTGTTAATCATCGAAAACATGAACCCCCTAATAACTTTTAAAAATGGAGCTGTACAGAAAAAAGAGGACTTAAGCAACAACCAGTCTTAAAATAACTACATGTCAACATTGCAAACAGGGGGGGAAACATTTATATTCCGTGTAATAAATTTCTAAAGTTTGTCCACAGCGCTATAAGAATTGCTGGAGGGGCCGGGATTTATGACCTATACTGCAGCCAGTCATCAGAGGGTGCCGTTCTTGCAGAAGCTTCACTATACTAAGCGTCTATATACAGTCTAAGGCTAACACACAGAACACAAAAAGTAACAATTACTCTGGCCCCAATTTAATTTAAGTGAGTTGAACCCAAAATGGTGTGACACGTAACATTAATGTGAAAATGAAAGAGGCACACAGCAGGATAAACTCCAACATTGCTACCCTCTACCCCTCATTTCTTCTTTGTTACTACCTGCAAGGGAGGATCACAGGCCAATCAGTTACACCATAACACCTCAGTTTAATATATGTTTCAGATGAGGCATTCACAGCTGTGTATAACAGTAATAGTGTAAAACCTCGAAACTGAGTCATTACATTCAGGATCAACTGCTTCTCAGAAAGGATCATTTATATTTCAGGCCGGATGGAAGGCTTGATGCTCATCCTATCTTACTTTATCCCAGGCTCTTCTTAATGATGAGAGCAGGACTCCATGTCCTCTGGTTCCCATCCTCCTTGACAACCTCTTTGGCCTATTTTAAGGCTCTGAATCACACTTCAAACTGTTTTGTTCTCATGATGCTGCTTGTCACCCCTTGTATACAGAGGATTTATATACTTATCACCTCCTGAGGGGATTGTCAGAACCAGAGACATCAAATTTGCATTCCCAGAGCATCTAAAGTGCATGCAAACCACAAATTAAGTTACATCAGTGTTTTCTATGCATTAAGGCCGGTGTGTAGCTCATGACTCTAACCATTCTAAGTCCAAACAGCGACTAAAGAATTAAGTCATGGCAGGTCAGAGATAATTGTAATATGAACATGGTAAGCTCTGATGAAATGAAACCCTTTGTCCATTTAACCCCAATACCATTTCCGTTGAGGTGGTGCTGCTGGGCACTTTAAAAGAACTTCGGGGCACAAATGTCGACTTCCTCATCAATTTGCATTTCTTAACCCCACTTAGAAAGTGAGTTGATGTGCAGATATCCATCATATCACCCTGTGTAACACTGGCAGAGTCCTAGGTGGACAGATATGGCTTTCATGTCGACAATGTTGTTCTCATTAAGCCATGACCAAGGCTTGGATGTTGTCCAAAGACATAGTGCTACAGCATTGTCTGCATCGAAACACGAACAACAGCAGCAGCCAAGATCCTAAAGTGTTTGGGCAGAGATGGTTATCAAAGCTGAGGGCCTTTACACAACAAGGTCAGACGTTTTTGAACACGTTCAGATGTGTTTGCTTTTAATTTAATTAGGTTAATCTGCTCGATTTCCTGTGATTCTCCTTCCTCCATGTGTGAGGAAGAAGAAATGTGAGAGGGTTTAGGCTTCACTGATCTTACAGCTTTAATTTCAAATGCACAACATACAAATAATGAAAGCCTCTTAGTAGCTGGATACAAGCTTGCTCTTCTCCACACTGCATGTCCTCAAGATAATAATGGAGCAAAGGTGAAAAGATCTTTCTCTGCTGCTGTAGAGCTGATCCTGGATGAAATCAGCTTCAAATAGTCAGAAAGACAAGAGCGATGAGTTGTTAGCGAGGGGGAAAATCCTGCAAGTTGTAAGATGAAATGATACAAAGTGAATGATGAGGCAAACATATGCTCAGAAACAATCAGTGCTGAGTGATAACAGAAAACTAGCACACAAACAGTTTCCTGTTAAGTTTTTCTGCTTCAGTCATGATTGCTCAACGGTTGGCATCATGGGTCTGTTTGTTGGATGTACTGCAATAAAATATTTGAAAAACTACTTGATTGATTTCAAGGATTCAGTGCAGATGTCGAAAAGATGATGAGAATGGATCATGATCACCTTAATAAGCGATACTCTAGTGCCCCCACAAGACTTACTGTTGCATTTAAACATTCACTGCATCGTCGGGTATAACATGTGTTTAAGTGAGACATTACATCATTAAAAGATCAGTTAGGTCGAATCCTGAAAGACATGAAACTAATGGTGAAAGCCAAGCAGTCTAACCTTTCATACCGCTGTAGTGAGGTCTAAAGCCACCTTGCAGAGTACGTGATTAAGCTGCTAAGCCAAACTGATACCCCTTTACTTAACAGCAAATATTAGCATAACAATTAACTTGCTATGATTGTTTTCATGGTGAAGTACCTGCTCACTGTCAGAATGTAAGTATTGTCATATAAGCACACTGACAAGAATGATGTGAACTCTTGGTCTTGTTGACTTATGTGTCAGGTTACTCAACTCTGTTGCATATTGGGTTATTATATAGATTAGAAATAATAGGCTTGATTGCACTTAAGTGTAAACAGCTTGATTTGTTATAATATGATAATACGTAGTTATTTCATTGTTATCCTCAAACTTTTAAAACTTTTTTTGGCCTTTCGTGGCTGGTGACGCAAGTTGTAAACTTCACATTGACACAATGATGCTATACAGTTGTAATTGCAAAGGCCGAACTGCAGTTTCTGTGTGCAACAAACATGAGGCAACATTTGCATTAATTTTCTGTTTCCAGCTGATGAATGTAGCTCAATCAGACTTTATTTTTGCACTGATTGGTTCTCAGTTAGCTTCAGTTTACTTTCAGTTAACTTTACAGTTAACTGTCAAGTTTATGGCTAGTTTACTGATTTAGTTTACAATCTATTCATGAACATTTTCTGTGATGTTGCCTAAATATTATACAGTGGTGTCTGTTTTTGCTGGCTGTTGACAAGAGCAGTGTGGTTTTATTTAAAAGGTGAAGTTTCCAGACTTTTACATCAACCAATAAACTACAAGATATTAAAATGAAGGCTCCTGTTGTAACTGCAAGAGTTGGGTAACAACTCTCTCTAGGCCATCAATGTGTCCTTTCTCATAAAACAGTAAATTTATTGTTCAGGTCTATGTTTTTGCATTGCTACATTTGATCTTTGAGTATTTTTTAATGTGTATTATCAATGCATCAGTTAGGTTGCCATAATACAGCTCAGACTTTTATAAAATCTGTCATCAAAACTAGTTTTGTGGGGCAGCTGTGGCTGAGTGTCTGCGGATTGGAAACTTTGGTGGTTCTATCCTAGCTCCTGCATTCACACACAGTAGCTGCAGCGGGGGACAATGACCCCAAATTTCCCCTGGTGTTTTAGTCAGCCATGTGTGAAGTGACGCCCAGTGAACATTTCAACAGTTTTTATCTAACTTGGTCCAGTACATTGTGGAATATCGCAACAAAGCCAACATGCACTTGCAGAAAGCTATATTTCATCTACAGGTAGTTAGTTGAGTGTTGTGCAGATCTTTGTGTACTTCTTTACTGAAATCTCGCTGGTGCGTTCTCTCTCTACTGTATGTAGTACGCAGTTTTACAGGGACAGAGTGGGACAGGTGCCTGGGTGCTGTACGGTACATCTTTGAGACAGAAATAGTCCCACAATGAGTCAGAGGGTGAAAAGAAGGAGGGATAATTCCACTCCTATTTTCAGGAGGTGTAGCCCTCCTCTCCTCTCCTCACGCTGATTGTCATGGGGCTGGCCTGCAACTCTGCTGCACTATTGCTCGTATCCCCTGCAATAGTATGCAGCTGTGCGTGACTAGGTACCTCTGCAAAGACCAAGCCCAATAAATGCGTCACCGTTGATACTGATGACAAGCAGCCTGTCTACTGTGTGGTCAGCTGGACTTCTCTAAGTGTGCACTGGCTCAAGCACTGATCTTTGCTAAAGAATTAATTCGGGCAAAATCCTGGTCTAGCTTTACTTCAATCCTAAAGAATAAAAGTCATTAGTTTGTCACTTCCAAAGTCTGAAGTGAGTTAAGAAAGACAGTTTTCAGTTTTCTGCACCTTTTGACTGTAACAATCTACAGACAGGTTTTAAACTTCAAAACTGACCTTATCTGAGTGTGAAGAGTCTATGCAAGGCATTAATCTTGCAGTCTTTTGCAAAAAATGTGTGCTACCATCCTTGGTCAGGTATACCTTAAAAAAAGAAAACCTTTTAAACTAACTAAATAAGGGTTAAATAGAAGTTAAATCAATATATAAAGGCTAATTAGCTTCAATCAGTGATTGCTACTCTGCATCATTTGGGACACATAAAGAGCAGGAACCACCACTGACATGTAGACAGAAGAAGAAGAAGAAGAAGAAGAAGAAGAAGAAGAAGAAGAAGAAGAAGAAGAAGAAGAACATTCCAGCCTTTAACTAAGTCATGTTCTGTCTAATCTTTACTATACATGCTGTTTTAATTCACTACCACATGTGTGGCAGGGATCTGTTGCCTCTTCAACTTTCTTCAATTAATCGACATTTGCTGAAACTTTTAATAGCACTTGATTATCTGCTTATGTAACTTTAAACAGTCCAGCTGTTTGGCTACTGATCTCTGGTCCGACATGCCCTCAGCTGTGCTCTCATGCTGCTTTTAGCTGGGACATCCCCTAGACATGGACGTTGCTGACTGGAATGACAGATTAGCAGCTCTGCAGTGATGAGGCTTTATTAAGTGACTTCATGGCAGACATTGGGGGTTGTCATACTCAAATTGGTGTTTTTGATTTTCTTTAGAGTGAGATGTGCACATGAGCTTTTCTATGCACACGTTTGTGAAGATATGTAAGCATTCCTTACACTCTTGAAGAGATGTGTATCACTGCATGGCACCAGTGCCCACAGTATCTGGTGACTTTGTCTGACTGACGCCTGACACCTGACTATGGCAACTTGTAGTGGCCAAAATGAATCAGTGCAAGGACAGACAAGGGTATTCTAACCAAGCATGACGAACCATCTGACTTATTTTCAAACAAGTAGAGCAAACAGCTGTTTTACAATCTTTTGTTGGTATTATAAATGTGATTTGAAGTTCCCTCTTTCTAAAAAAAAGATGCTTTCATTTCAGATAGAACCAAAGATAACCATTTAAGATCCTGGGAAAAAGTAGGTATAAATGCCAAAATCTTCACCTGAGCGCTAAAATTCACACAATTGAAACCAAACTCAGTCTAGTAGGAAAACTAGTCATTCCAACCAGCTTTGCTTTCCCTCTTTTTGTGGTTAGTTCAAGTCACTCTGTCAGGGCTTTCACATAATTAGCAACAACTTTTGCTGTACAAGGATGCAAAAGAATAGCAATGACTGAACAGAAAAACTACAGAAGCTTAAGTCTATTTTTTTCTTTTGTTTCAGTTGTATTGAATGGTTGCTTAATGGTTACCTTTCAACTTCAATGAAAAACTGCAAATTTTTTTGACAGCCACATGCAGCAAGAAATACAAAGCTCTTCAAGACCCCAATCAAATACATATGGAACTTTACAAGTGAGCATTTCCATTTAACACAACACACCTGCTAAAATGTGTCTTAAAGTGCATCCAACAATCATAAAATTCAACACTTTTTCCCACAGACCCTTAGTGAGCTCCATACCTGCAACAGTCAGGACCAGCAGAAACAGCAAGCCGCACACAGACAGCAGAGACTTCATTTTGGCTGCCAGGGGCCTTCCCTTCATCGCTCTCTTCTATATATACCTCTGCTGCTGAAGGTCAGAGGGCACAACAGTGGAGGTGGCACTCAGCAACTGCACCCATATCAGTCATTTTGTGTCAGAACAGCTGCTTGGACCAATCAGGAATGCAGAAAGCAGGCAGTGAGAGAAAAACTGGAAGATTGTATTTTAAGTGTCTAAGTTTTAGTACAAGTTGATATTTGTGTTGTTTCTAACTCTTGATCGTTACTGCTTCGTCAGAGCTTTGAAAAGTCAATGCCAGCTTCAGGGGATCAAGACATTTCATCCTGTAAAACAGAAACAGCTGGAGCTCCCCATTAACTGTGTTCCTTCTATTAAGGATTAAAGACGGGCCTGTGTACCACCTGTGTTTATCAGAAATATGAACTCCAGACCGCAGAAAAACTTACGCTGCAGCCAGAGTAGGAGCTGCTCGCTGTCGCCACCTGCTGGATGTATGGTTCATAACGTGCAAACTTGAAACAAATCAGGAAACAGAGGGGTGTAATAAAAAAGGTACAAATTTATTTTTTTCATCTTTACAAAGGCCTGTTTACCCAAGTTTTTATAAACAAAATATAACAGCTTCTCATCGACCTGGACTGATGGGAAAAAAAAATCACAAAAATATAAAAAAAATGCTTTTCACCAAAAATGGAAAAAAGGACAAGAAAGACAGATATAAAAAAAAGAAAAAGAGCAGAACACAATAAAAGCTTTCGACATGTCCAAGCAAAGAGCTAACAAAAAATAGACTGTGAAAAATAACTTCCTCATCATTGAATCAGGCAGTACAGAACAGCAAGTGCTTCATATCAAATACCTCAAATTCCACCAAAAGACAGCAGTGCTGCAACACAACGCACAGAAACATAGGAGAGAACATGTTTTGTTGACTCACAGCAAACCGCAGTCCAAATTTAGGCTTTGACTTGAAATGTGTGTCAGCAAAACATCTGAACCCTCTGACAAAGTTTCACAAACAAAATATGCTAATTTCCCCCAGTGATTGTCAGGGAAAACAGCTCGACTAACCAGGTATAAAATCAACGTGACTGAAAAGTGTCCTCATATCTCACAAGAGACAGCTTCACACTGAACACATCAGTCTCATGTTAATGGAAAATGTTGGAACCCCGCGGAAACATAAACAAAGTGTCGAAACACAAAAGCGCAATTTAGACAAGAGAAAACAGCAATTAGTAACATGCATTCAATTGGCAAGAGAACATATAAGAGATCAAAAGACAGATACAAATCCAAATAAAAGGAATGTTTACAGCATCAAGTCAGAGGACTAAATTGAGTCTGACAGGAGGGAGGCTCTGAGCAGGGATTTCCAGTCAAATTCCCGACAGAAATATAAGCAACAGAACATGAGGTGGACAGACTGAGACAGGAGATCTGAAAGTCCGATCAGTGCATCTTAGAGTCTTTCCACTTTTTCTCTGGTTTGATGCACTGAAAAGTACGTCCAGCTATTGGTGTGTACAAAACTTCTAACTAAAGTGATGATCCACTTTATCCTCTCTCTCTCTCTCTCTCTAGAGTTTTAAATTTATTAAGTTGTGAGTTATGTAATCAGGCTGTGTTCTGTGGGTTGTTTCTATCTATGCAACCAAAAAAAAAAAAGCATGAGAAAACCTTTCTGTTCCCCTGCTCTAAAAACTATCCGTACATGCGTGAATGACACTATTGAGCCAGAATTCAGGCACAGAATGCACATGTGTGAACAGGTGTGAAGTCAGATGAAGGGTGTTTGGGTCAGCAGAGCAGCCGGCTGACAAAGAGCACCATGCAGGCAGAGACTACATTCTTTGACAAACACAGGTCAAGTTTCAGAGATAAACTGTAGGTGTCATGTTCACACCTATCTACGGTGCATAGATAACTTCACCTCATGTATCAAACCAACAAAATGGACTGAAGATGGAATTGCATAAATACCAAAAAACTCTAGTGCATAGTCACTGAACTTAAAACGAGTAAAAAAGACGGACTGGACGTCTTTGGAGGTGAACCAGAAGCCTTCAGACTTTAAACACCAGACAAACTTGACTTTACTTATTTATAATAAGAGAATATTCAGATTCAGTCAGATTGTTTGAGATTGATCTAAATGTTAAAAAACCAACGTTTGGTTCTTTTTGTAGTTATCACTGTCCATGGTAGAGAACTACGAAGCCCCTAAAAGGACATGAAGGAAAAAATTTGAAAAGGATTCTTCAAGATTTTTCTCGCAAAACTATTGCGAAAGCTCACAGTTGTCAAAGAGTTACAAGTAAAAAGAAAAGAAAATAGATCAGTGTATTCCTTGTCGAGTCAACCCATGCACCTGTGGGAGAGGTTCATTGCATCTTTTTTGTGACTGGCCTCAGATATAAGAGATATTAAATCAGTTCTGCGAAGCAGGCACTGCTTTCTTTTAAAACACGAATTATGGAGGATGATTTGAAAGAAGTCCTACGGTCAAGTGACGTCCTGAAGACAATATGTGCATGCAAAGGGACAAGGTGAGCAGAAAATGAGCTCAAAATAAAATTCAATGAACCTTTCCCACAGCTGCGTACGTTCCAATATTTTTGTTGAATTAACATGGAAGTGATACACTGACCAGTAACTCTAAGCACTTGAGATCTATTGCGAGATCTCGCAAAAAAGCTCAAGAAAATCTTTTTTTTTTTTTTTCATCCACGTCCCTTAAGGGGCTCCATAGCTAACTGTATCCTGATTCATCTCAGACTTTTGGTTCCCTATAAAGACCTGACAAACCTCCAGTATAAAGTTGTTAATCTCATAATAACAAAAGTGTTCACCTTCAACATTCAGTAACCCTGACGAATAAAAAAAAATTATAAGAAAACAATAAACACGATTAAAGGAAATTGTTCAACAGCTTATTTTGTAAGGGCTTATTTAGATATGAAAACAACTATTTTCAAGTAAATCAGAGAATTCCATTCAACATATTTCCTCAAATTAGCTTTGCAATTAATTTTACCCAAACTTTCAAAATAAAAAATGCCTTGTGTTGTAGTTTAAGTTGTTGTTTTTTTTTTTGTGGCCACTTGCACAAAAGTATCATCGAGTCAATCAGAAAACAAATTTAGACTGGGCAGCTGCAACTCTACTTCCTCTCTCAGAATCAAGAGCTGCTCTCGCCTTGTGTTTATACATTCAACTCTCCATCAATGTGTAGCACAAGTAATACTGTCAGTGTGCCAATGACGACGGGTAACTATGATACTGAGACTGTATGAAGCACATATTCAATGTAGGACGGACTCATGCTGAGAGCTTTTAAAATGAAGAGACTGTCAAGTTTTCAAGCAGCCACAGACTGACTTCGATACTGAAAAACAACCTCCAGAGACCCCACAGGGTCTCCTCGACACGCTGACCGTCCTATGCTCTCAATCTCCTCAGAAATTTTACAGTACGAGACTGACACAGAGCTTAACCACTGGATTGAAGAGTTTGGATAATGCCGAGGAAGGATTTCTGTTGTTTAAAGTAGTCAAGCTCCTGGAGGGAATCTTACAGTGAGTAGATATTTTTAAGTGTTTGTGTGTGTATGCCTGTGTGTGTGTGTGTGTGTGTGTGTGTGTGTGTCAGCATTTGTATGTGTGTGTGTGTGTGTGTGTGTGAGAATGTTCATGGGTTTGATCAGTTCATGGAACAGTCCTCTCCCTCGGTGTCGGTGTCTGTGTCCGAGCAGGCGGTGTCCATGGCCACATGGACAGGGCTGACGATGACTGCCCGCCTCTGCTCCTCCTCTGCACTTGCTCTTCTCTCCTGAGTGCGCTCAATGTGCTGAATGGCCTGACAGCAGAGGATCAAAACATAAAATCAAAATGAATACATAACATTCACCATTATTTCAATGGGATAGTTGGTTTTGTACGTGGGGCTGTTTAAAGTACTTGTGAACAGTAAGTCCCCTGAGAACCAGCACACTGCAGACAGGCTCAGTTTAACCACAGCTTAACTTATCTTAACTCCAACCCAAACATTAATCTGATACACTTACGGTTGATGAGTACTTAATACAGCCTCACCTCAAAAACTTGGACCTATCCCTTTAAGACCACAATAACACATGAGTCTTGGAGCTGGTTTGACGGGGATTCTCTGTGTGAGCACCTACCTGCACAATAGTGTCCAGGTTCTGCCTGGACGTGGACACGGAGCTGGTGTGAACAGATGGGCTCATGGTTACCACAGTGACATGATGGTGGGGGTGCTGGGTTAGTGTTGGGGCTGGAACGATGACCGTGGGGTGATGGGTTGGTGCGGGGGGAGTGGGAGGAGCTAAGACCTAAAGGGGAGACAAATTTGAACAAAATTAACTCTCAGACTGAATGTCACCTTTTATTGTTTATTTAAGAACAAATGACTGCATTGTGTGTGTGTGTTTCTGACCTTTGGACTGTGTGTTTGTCTGTCAGCTGCGTGGATCTGTTGCAGCCGTAGCAGTGTCTGGCTCTGCAGGAGTGCCTGCTCCTCCTCCACCTGCTGGGTGATCACCTTCAGACGCTCAGGGTGCAGCTGGGTGTCCAGACATCGCACCTGCACACAAACAAACAGGTATTTCATTTGTCCAAAGGGCTTTTAACAAAAAGCTCTTGTTTCTTAATCCGCTCACTGTTTACTTCCGTCTTTTACTTCCTGTCTCACTTTCTGTTTCTGTCTTTGTCTTAACCTGCTCCTCAGGTAGATCCAGGATGTGAGTAGTGAGCAAATAAATCTGTTATCACCGCTAGCAGACACTTTGTTATCAACTGATCATCATGGAGCTCGTCCACATACTTGGTAGAAGTCAAATGGATGGTTGAACTCAGATGTTTTGCAGTTGACCTTAGCCTTGAGTAAAAGATTTTAGAGATTTTGAGGATTTCCTGAAGGACATACTATCAAGAACAGAACAGTATTGCATTCACCAAAAAAAGCTTTGTTTTTCAGTAATTCGTTTTTGTTTTGTTCTTCGGACTAAATTTTTCAGTTTTTCAGAATTTTTTTTTTCTCTTTTCTGTTTTTTATGACTATTTCTTTGTTTTGTTTTCCAGACCTACTGTTTTTCCTATTCTCTGAGATCATGATCATCTAAACACAGGTGCTTTCATCACCCTATGCTCGATTTATTGGAAGCAAACAGTGGAAGCCCACTTGTTTAGTTTAATCAAGTTTTACTTTCTTTTGGGTTTGAGACACTGGGGGATACTCCTTTCTTAAAGTCAGATAGATGGAATCCTCAGAAGTTTGTCTAATTTGTGCAGGCACCTCAGGATTTGCATACCCTATGTTTAACTAATAACATGCTTTAATCTCATTGACATCATAGTCAAAGTTATCTAGAAGCTGAAAAGTCTGCTGATTTGGAGCAGCCGCAGTGGTTAACGTTATCTGATTGTATAAGATTCTCGCATGATTTTGAGGTATCTCGCTTAGTTAGGGGGAAAAAATGGTCAACAAAACAGAAAGACGAAAAAAAATAGTACAAAGAACAGAAAAAAAACTGTCAAATAAACAGAAATAGGGGAAAAAATATTAGCACAACAAACAGAGAAAAAAAAATGTCCGAAAAACAGCAAAGAAAAAAAATTAAAACGGTTCCCTTTTTTTTGTACGTGAATGCATTGCGTCCCTTATTAAGGAACATTTTTCATAATATTTTTAATAGCCACACTGGACCACTGTAGGCATAGTATCAGCTAATGCTTCTACCCCAGCAACGATTACAAATGAAACAAAGAAAAATACAATGAGTGGTGTTTGCGTTTTCAATCTCATTATTTCTACACCTCTGAAACAGAAATGAGCCATGAACATACCTGCTCCTCCAGCTGCATACGCGCTGAGCGCTCCTTGTCCAGTTGCTGTCGCAGCTCTAACATTTCCCTCCTCAACTCCTCCACCTTCTCCTCCTCCAGCGTGTCTGGAGACCCAATACCTTCATCCTTCTCCTCCGCTCGCCTCCTCTTTGGTGAGGAGCCACTGAACTCCTGTGGTGACATATAAGTCATGTATGGTCAAATTTAGATCAGAAATCTAAAAAAAACCTGACATATTTCCAAACTGGTATTCATGTACTTAACCAGCAAGCAACATGATGAGCTAATAGGGCTGGTAAACACATTTTCACACAGCTCCAACAGATGGAAGGTTTTGTTCATGCGTCAGGTTCAGTTGTATTAACACACGCACAAAACAAACAAAAGTCTTAAACATCCAACAGGCTATGTTTTAAGGAAATAAAAATTACTCATTCAAGACCAATATATTAATTATTTAATGTGCATTTCCTTGCAGACATATCGGAGGATGACATCTTTTGTGTGTAAAAACATCCAAAAAGCTGGTGAATACCAGCTAATGTAAACCCTGGTTGTATTAATCTTTTGGACATGTTCTTGTCAACCTGCAGAAACTGAATCTAGCAAAAAGCGTCTCTTCATCATCAAATAAACAAGCAGATGCTGTTAAACCATGAGCCAGAAGAAGTGCAGCATCACACCTCCCGCCTGCACCACATCCAAATCTTTCATAACAGTTGACACGCTGACATGACAAAGTGAATCACAGCCTGCTGAGGCATAAATCCATACTGGGGGTGGTCTGGGGAGACTGCCAAAACCAAATTGATCCTTCGATTAACCAAAGTTGTCTGGATGTCAATCAGACAATAGACATTTGACCTTTTTAACACTCAAAGTCAGACTGAAAAACTGTGCTTTCAACAGGCATGTCTATGGTACCTGAATGAAGCGTTTCAGCTGGTTGTTTTGTGCCAGTAGCTGTGTCTTCTCTTGCTCTAAGGCAAAGATGTAGTCTGCCGTCTGTTGCAAGATGGCAGCCTGGCGGGGACAAACAGACAAAAAGAGACAACAATGCACAAATGAATACTTGAAGTTTTTTGACAAGCCTTAAAGAAGCAAAAAGGAAGTCGAGTCAAGACAAATGAGGGCTACATTTGTGTGTGTGTGTGTGTGTGTGTGTCTGCACCTTGCTGAGTTTTTCTCCGTCTGTGTGGGGCAGGAGTGTTTTTAGGGACTGGAAACCTGCGTTGATGCTCTGCATACGTCTGCGTTCGTTGCTGTTGGCAATCTCTCGACGGATTCTCCTCTCCTGGTCCTGAGCCGTTTCCGGGCTAAGAGGGATGTTTGCCAGACTGAGGGGAAAGAGGTCAAGAAAGGTAGGTGATTTTTAATTCGATCAGCGAAGGCTGTGTCTCCACAGACAAAAACAGAACTCTTGCTGGCCCACAAAGTTTTTCGCAGTCAGGTTCTTACAAACAGCAACAATAAAACTGGCCATGAGCTCCATAAACCTTCAACCAGGAACTTTACTAGGCTGCACCTAGGACCTCTTCACATTCCTCTGTCATGCTGTCTTGGGGGCTTTCAGTTTGGCTGAACTCATTGCCCCTCACACACCTCCAATCCCATGAGTTTAGGATGTTTCATCGGCTGAACCTCCAACATTGTATTCACTTGGGGAGTGGGGGGCACAGCAGCGAAGAGCGACGAGACAACCAGCAGAACAACATCTGGGATCTTTATCAAATGAAAGCTCAGAGGAAACAGCTCACATGGTCTGGTTAAACCTGAAGTTAAGAAGCCGCTTTCCTTTACAAAACAGCTAAAAAATTTAAAGTTAACGTGTTATCTTGCACTGCAGACAAATTCTGTTTGGTAAAAGTAATGATAATATTTTATGCAACACCTGATATAATTATTTCTGATATATTTGTTGATTGACACTTTCAAAAACATGATCGAAGTTCATGGCTGAATCAAACAAATAAAAACATGCAAAGAGGAAACAGTAGAAACCTGATCCAGAGATGCCTCCTCTGGGTTCACTGAGACTGAGCTGGGGAGCAAACTTTCCTATGGCCTGACAAGTCAGACTTGGAATAATGGTAGAAAATCACAGCTGTGTACAGCTTAATGGGACTGCACCCATTGTTTATAAAGGCAACAACAACGTGGTAGATGTGTACGAGTTTTAGGGCAATATATGCAGGCAAGCTGATAACGTCTTCTTCCTGGAGGGGCCTGCTTGCAAGTAAATGCCTCATGTCATTCTGTCATTCAACAGTGAGGCTTAATGGTAAATGGTCATGGTGCTGAACTGGCCTGACTGCAGCCCTGACTTGTCAGCCATTCAAAATGTTAGGCACATACTAGCTTGCTTGTGACTGCGGGCAAAATATGTCATCATTTAGGGAAACGTCAACATTAGGGGAGAGTGGTGTAAGATGAGCCTTTTTTTCATATTTTGGATCACTACATCAAGACAGTCATAGTTTTGTCTCTAACTAGTGTATCTGCATATATTTCAAGATGTTGTGCATTCCTGCAAACCAACAGAATGAGTGTAAACAAAACTGTCTTGATAATACAGCATGACAAAAAAGTGGTCTCCTATGGTCAACTTAGCACATACACAGGGTAATTTTTATCTATTATACGCTATTCAACTGGTACAATAATTCTTTTAATTATTATTGCATATAACGTCTTAAAAGCTGTTTTGTAAAAAACAAAAAAAAAAAACAAAGAAAAAAAACATTTTAACATGAGAATGCCTTTAAGTGATTCAGAACATTCACAGCTGTATTTTAGAAAAGAAAAAGTAAAACATTTCAACAATCTGAACTGAAACTCTGATCCTCTCATTAGACTCCTTTACTTTCTCAGTTGAGCCTCAACTTACCCCAGAACTACTATTATGACTTTATTAGTCATCTAAGCTAAAATGGTGGACTTTTATGTTTTAGCTCAAAGATACCACAATTGATGTATAAAACAAATTTAAAATGATCTTTTTTGGTCTGAACACAATTCTAATAAAACTTATGACAGACTAAATTCACTTTCAAGAGTGAAAAATGTTTTTGGAAATAAATGTCTAACCCCTTCACCTATGTGCTTCTAACCTTCACAGACTCCATGAATTGATGCCCATCTCGTAAATATTTTGTCTCATGATCAATTTCTTTTACTATTTCCAAGCAACAGGGGGTGGCTCAACTTACCCCACTGTCCCCTACCAGCCACACTGACAGTGCTGGCAGCAGACTCTGCGAACTTTACTGGTTATTTTATCTAAGCTGCCCTTTAAAAATCCATCTTTTGAACCCAGATGTCAACCAATGCCGATAATTAAAAACACATCAACAAATTAGTAAATAAGCAGATTTCTAGTTACAAATTGTGTGTCGCTGTTGGGCAAATAATTTCAATTCGGTTTCTATTCACATTTAACTCTGTCTAAACTTTTCCAGACTAGATGTCGCATGTTGCTTTTTATTTTGCACACTGAAGCTCCGACGCAAACAACGCACTGTTGCAGTCGAGGTGGTCGATGGCGTGTTTTCTATGGTTCATGAGTGTGATCAGCTGGTATCAGCTGCGGTTCACATGAGCTGCTTTAACATGGCCGCCGGAGGGCGCGTGAGGTGCTGCTGCGTTAACAGTGAAATCTGACTCCGCGCGCAGCAGCAGGCCGTCTGGCATCGCGGAGAACAATGCGTTTTACCATTAGCACAAAGCTAGCAGTGATTACGAGTCTGCCGGTTAGGGGAAAGAAATATTTGTCTTTAGCCACAATTCAAAACAACACGTTACCATTAACAAAGTCTGTACGGATTGGTTAAAACGTCCAACATTATCCGGTAGCGAGAGCATGGTAGAGGCTAAGCAGTTAGCCAGGCTAGGCTAATTTTAGCACACGACGCAGCCATGGCTGCTGCGCGGAGCATTATTTTACTACGCACAAAGCATGGCCTTTAACGTGTCTGTGATACATAAACACACATTCACAACACACAACAATTACTTGAATTAAAAAACGAGTGCGGCAGTCTATAAACACGTTATTTGGTTTACAGCAGTGAAGCGGTGGAGAGCACGTTAACTACCACGTGGTTGATGTTCAACTGGACGCAAATGTATCGATTTCGTGTCACTGATTTACATATTTCTGTGCTGGATGAGCTGGAACATGCCCGTATTGTTATTACATGCCATTCTACCAACATCTGTATGAACACAGGATAAGTTATGCAACATTTCCTTGTCGCCATCAGCCGCTGGCCAACAAGCTGCTAATTTCTACAACCATGCGCCTTTGGCAACACATCGCAGCGAGGCTAAGCGCTAGCATGCTAACTGGAGTCACACTGCATCACACGCACATACACACACTACACACGAGGGGGGATTTGTGCACACGTTTTAAAAAACAATAAGCAAGCTACACACCTGCAAAGACCCCCGATAACATCCTTCTCCGTCTTCTTGAACTGCTGCAAGGACGGTATCTTTTCTGTCGGCATCATGAAATATTCCATGCTTTCAAAGCCACCTTCTCTAGTCCGTGTTTTCGGTTTTTTTCTTCCTCTACCGCCGTCCTTGTCAAAGTATAATGAAGTACGCCTTCAGCTCTTAAGCTCTAAGACAACTCCTCAATGGGACACATCCAAAATAGCGCTTCAAAATCAAGAAATTATGAGTACTAGAAAGAAAAATAAAAGTAAGTTGAAGCTGTGTTGCTTCCCACAGCTGATGGGGTTCCCTCCAATGTATGTGTGTGTGGATTTTTGCCTCCGCCTACTACGTGTCTGTGTGTGTATGTCTACTGCCTCCGCCTACTGTGTGTGTGTTCGCGCGCGTGTCTGTGTCTGTGCGTGTGTGTGTGTGTGTGCAGCTGATCTGTGCGAGGCGGGAAACAGCTGGTTGGAATCAGCGCCCGTTTTCCGGAGAGAAGAACAAACAGACCTGCAGGAGAGTCAGTCTTCTTCACTGTGTGGAGCTGCAGCGCTGCAGATCAGAAGACCTTTACCAAGACCCAACCAGCCAGCGGTGAAAACAACAACAAACTGCGTAAAAACACAGACATTTAAACACATACACCAAACACACAAAATATGCTTGGCAAAAGCATTGGAGCAAACTTTTGTCCGAACGTGGTTTGTTTCTATATCACAGTATAATATAACGACCTTCAGATCCTAAAATAGACTTACACTGACATATTAGTCATTTTCAAGTCTCTACCTGTCTGATAATTTCCGGCTGATCTCCATTTGATTGACTATTATGTAACGTTTGGTTTAGACTTGATTAATGTTACCTCAATTTTTTGGGATGATCTGTTAATTTGTCAATTCATAAAAAATAAACTCTTTCAGAAAATAGTAACAACATAGTAGAATAGTTAATAGTAAACAACAGAAATTTAAATGATCGTATCAGCCTTGTGAAGAATATCATTTTGTCAGATGATCAATAGCCACTCATACCCATATATCGACTTGTTCATTACAAAGGTTGTCAACTTGAAAAAAAAATTTAGCTACCAGTAAAAATAGGACTAAACAGAGCGCCCTGTCGGAATACAAAGGCGAGTATTAAATACACAACATGCTCAGACTTAACATTTCAACATTCTACAGCAGGTGGCAGTAATGCACCATGATGGCGGTCTCCAGTGCTGTGTTTACATGAAAAGTTTTACTGTAAGGTTTGTAAGACTATTCACAAATGATGGGGAAGGTATGCTTGGATCCATAATAGCATGTCTTTAAATAAGAAACTTTTTAACTAAATAACTGATACAGAAAATATTATTTATCAACATTAAACTAAACTAAAACCAAAATCTGTTTTAATCTGCTCTCATAAATAAAGTAATCCAACCAGATATTCAGTTAATTTGAATCTCACAATTGAATTGTATTTGTCCTCTGGTACCTCCATTGCTGTAATGTGTACATATCACAGTTAGGATGCTGAATACTCGGTCAATCAACTTTCACAAAGAGAGACATACTTGTGTGATTATCTTTTCCAATTGAAACTGCTGTTATTAGAAGAATTAAAGATGCAGTTTTCTTGTCTGGGGGAGGTTCTTTACCGTCCCGTCTCCTTCAAATGGTTTTCTCAAAGTCCCATTTTCTCAGCTTTGGCTAAATGCAAAGTAGTTGCACTTTAAATAGCGCTGTATGAAAATAAGACGCTTCTACTGTAAGTTGTAAGTTTTATTTTTGCATGCAATATAATTCCACTGTACAAAGCCTAAAAGCAAGAACATCATTTTAATTATTTTACAATGAAAAAGATAAATATTTACCTCTTATTATTTCTGACTGTAAGAAAAACAGTCTTCACTTTTCCCAACATGTTAAAGTACAAATAGGCCTATACAGCCTTCTCCCATTCACCTTTAAAAAACAAAACAAAAATAGAAAACAAAATTTTTGGTAAATGAAGTCTCTTAAAACATTTCTTGACATCTGGATATATTTCAGACATCCAGGTGAGTTAGTGTAACTGGAGGTCAGTTTGACATGTGTAGCATGGTGCATCTTCCAAGACTCAATATAAGCTCTGTTTAAAGAAGAAAACATTTCCCGGTACGTAGACCATGTTTGACCATGACACAAAACATGTAGAGCATCTTTGGATGTAAGTGCATCTTATGAATGGTAACATTTTTGGCATACAAGTAGCTGACTTTAATAAATAAAGCATGTTTAAGCAAAGTTAGGAAGCTTAATTATGCAGACGAGCAGACTCAAACTGTAATATAGATTTGTAGATACATCTTAAATACAGTACAGTTTTGAAGGAAAATTACTACATTTATGTGTCTGTTCAATTAAGAATATAAGGAGTACTTGAGGATGATATTAAATAAAACTTAAAAGGAAAATGTGGCACAACGACCAAACAGCTGAACCATCAGAAACAGTTCTGTAGCATGATTGTCAGACTCGTGCAAAAAGGCTTGTGCTCTTAATGACTCACTCTTTGTTTCACCTTTTCCACTTAAAATCTTGGGGCACAGGTTGGCATTATCATCATGATCCTTCATCAGTACAATGATGTTAGATGTCAAACCAAACACCTCTGGACTGAAAATAATGCAAGATCCAATAATGGATCTTTGTTAGAGTTCAGGGTTCACTGATGGTGTGTCTCCTGCTGGCATCACTGGTCTGGTCCTCTTGGCAGCAGATTCCTCCACAGCAAAAGTGTAGTTATACTGACAAAGTAAAACACAAACAAAGTGAACATACTTTCAGTGCAAGAATCACTGGGCCAAAGTGAGGAGTCAGGTGTGACGTTACCTCATTCTCAATGTCTTTGAGAGTTTTGATGCGAATGTTGCTTAATTGCGAGTTCAGCTGAAGAGCCTGATAAAGACAGGTGTTAGATTTTATATCAGAGAAAAAGAAAAAGGGAATTTTGAAATCTAAATCCACTACTTCAATAAAGTTTTGATTCACAAACATACCGTGCAGTTTGCCTGGATGTCAAACTTTGGGTGAAGGCTGAAGGGAACTCCATCCAGAGCTGCAGAAATAAGTAAAGATAAGCGGGTTCTCTCCATGTAAAAAATAAATAAGATAAAAAACTAAAAGTTTTTGTCATTATAAGACTTGAAGTACCTGTGATTCCCTGGATGCTGCTGTCAGCAGGTTTATCCAGATTGTCTTTGCCGTTGAGGCTGCGACGCCGCTGACTCAGTTTACTAAAGGGCAGAGGGGGAGGTGGGTTGCTGCCAAGATAAAAAGAAGTCAAAATTTAGAATGAAACACTTTCTGACAAGCTCTGCTACACTAGAGGGTTATAAGGAGCATCTCTCTTTGTTTCAAAACAGACACAAGAATCTCATATTTGACAAATGTAAGATGTAGATTTCCATTCAGTCACTGCCTACAGACTAGTAAGGTGGAGATCAAATGCACGGAAACACTTTTCTATAGTCAACATCGAATAAGTACTATACCTGGGTCTGAGGGGCAGGGGAGCAGATGGCTGGTCTAGTGAAAGCGTGCGGATGTCCAGGCTGACACTGCGTGGCTTAGCTTGGGGCACGGGGCTTGAAAAATAACCCTTTCTGCACCATAATACATAGCCATGGATGTCTCTGTGGAGACATACATCATTGTTACTTACAACGGGTAGCTACAACCCATATATTGAATGCATAATTAAAAAATAGCAATGTAAATATCTCTTTCTGTGTTCAGAATGTGGGATTAAACAAGTGCGCGTCAAATGTTTGTATATATGTGAATGCTTCTAACCCCACATATGTGTAGTGCTGCAGCATCATTTTGCTTTTGGCTGTCAGTTTGATGTCCAACACAGCTGTGTCAACACTCCCCACCGGGACAACACGTACACACACCCGTTTCTTCTTGGAAACAGAGGCCTCTGGACACAAACACACAAACACACATAATGTCCATCTGACTGCAAAGTAAACCAGCTGTGAGTAAATACTGCTTCAAATATCAGGACGGTAACAAATATTGATGTAAAGTGGGTTGTGTAAACACACACTGTGTATGAGTGGGCTTGTATTGCTTGGTAAAGTAATCAACTGTGGTGGTTGAAGTCAGCTGCAGGGGTTATGGTTACGGTAATGGTGGGAACTCCGTATGTAGATAAAGAAAGAAAAAGTGTGATGGTTGGTGCTCACTTTGTTCAAGGTGTTCTGCTATGTAGCAGTATCCGTGAGGAATGGAGTTCTTTTCTGATATGAGCTGAATGTCTGACACAACCATACCACCTGCCATGTCCTATAGAGAAGGAGAGACACAGATTCATGGAAGATTATGGATGATAGGAGGAAAAGTGAAAAAAGCGCCAGTGGGGATGACCGGTTGCGTGCTTTTATTGTATCTCTATAAGTTACCTTGCTGTAACAGATGTAATATCCAGACCTCATTCCAAAGTTACGCGTAAAGTTTGCAGAAGCCCCGTCTTCTGTGATGCTGATCTGCAGAGAGATTGAGGAGATGAGGTGTGGCTAGATATTTAGACTATCAAGAAGCTTTCATTATTGTGTGACAACAACGTGATTAATGTGCTGCTTTTTTTTTTACTCATATTGCACAGAAACATTCACCAGAGCTAAAATCAAGTTTATTCTTCAGCCCAAGCACTGAGCTACAAGTGAGGGGACAGAGCCTCTTCTGTTGCTGCCCTCTCCCTCTGAAACTCTCTCCACAAACAGATCAGTTACTGTACTAACCTGCTGAACTTCAGATCACTGAACAAACTCCACCTTTCAGGGCTGCTTTTAACTGCAGATGTTGCAGTTTTTTTACCACAGGTTTGATTTGATGTGTCCTTTTCTTTTATGATGTGGTTTTGAATAATTTCAAAATCTGGTAGCGTACATGGAGCTATCATAATTACATTTATATTGTTCTATATCGGTTTGTTTATCAGCATCATCATCACCCACAGCCTTCAGTGGGAGCTGCACATGAACCTGCCAAAGACAATGATCGTGCACTTTTACACCTCCATCATTGAGTCCATCCTCACCTCTTCCATCACTGTCTGATAAACTGTGGCCACAAGAGCTGGCAGCAGTGTATCATCTACTCAGCAGTGAGAGAGATCAGCTGCAACATGTCATCGCTACAAAACCTGTAAACCTCCAGAACCCTGATGCATGCAGGTCACCCCAGACCCCAGACACAGACTCTTTGAGACCCTCCCCTCAGCCAAGAGGATGCAGTCCATGAGGATCAAAACATCTTGCTAAAAGAACAATTTCTTCCACTCTGCTACTTAAACCAAACCACTATCCACCTCCCTCTGCTGCCACACCCTCATACTTTTTAAAACCCACAGTGGTTATCAGATTATTTGTGTTCTATGAATGTACACGTTACATTGCATTTTGTATTGTTTACACCAGAACTTTTGCACCTCTCTGCACAAATGAACCACTCTCTGTCACAAAGTTTGCTTAGTTTTTCCTCAGATTTTGGTTTATGTAGTTTTATACTATTTTGACAGTTTGATTAATTTTGACAGTCTACTTTAGTTTCTTTTCCAATCTTAGTACTGCTCTAAGAAGCTGTTAACTTATTTTTTATGTGTATCTGTACTTTTATATGTTTCTATAGTTAGTCTGTGCTCTTTTGATTTAGCACCAGAACACCAAGACACATTCCTTGTATGTGAAAACCTACGTTGCAGTAAACCTGATTCTGCGTACTTGGAGGTTATTACAATCAATACAGTCATTCAGCTGATTTATAAGCTTTGCCAATTTTGAAGAATAGAAATATTCTTTTCATATTCTGAATGTCACTTTTATTCAACGAAAAACCACTTCTCCTCTGCACCTACAAAGGTGCGTTGTTAACACACTTAGATCCCACATTCACCAATCTGACATCAGAAATGTTTATTTTTCCAGCCCCTTGGCACTTCCCTTTCTTTCACCTTTTCCTCAGTTCTGGTGCTTTTGAAGACATTATGAAACAGACCTGCCCATAATGTTCAAGCCCTTCAAGAAAAGTACAAAAAGTCAAAGGCTGAACAAGCTGCTTTTTTCGTATTTCAGGAAGGGTTTTTGCAGCAGGTTTACATCACCTATAAAAACACTGGAAAGGTCAGCCCATCAAAACACTTAGTTTTTCCTACTTTACTTTTCCAACAACATCAAGTTAAAGCCTGGTGCTTGAGGTTTTACTGTCTTCTTAGTACTTGACCATCCATGCATCAGGTACAATTTTACAGACATGTGCCCATGCATAAAAAGACTGGAATAATATGGCTGGTCACATCTTGACTCAATCTACTCATTGTGCCTCATTGTGAGCAATGAACATGCATTAAGTCCATATGTTCTTTTATCAAGAGAGAAAACCTCTAAGATCTTGATTTCAATTGCAAATATCAGACTTTTGCACTGACACAAAAAGTTGTCCACTCTTATGTTACAAGAAGGCCATGAAACAGTCAAGTTCTTTCCCTAGTTTTTGTTACACTTTAATGAAACTTGGAAATATTTATCTCTTATTTCCTCTGCTATGTTTCCAAACAACTATAAACAGCAATGAATAGACCCTTTTATTTAACTTCATGGCCCATCTGTGTTCATACCAGGGTAAAGTCTTTGGGGCAGGTGCTGGTGTTGGAGGTCCACGCCACTGCTGTGATTGGTCGGACACCCCCACGATCCATCAAAGACATCTGAGGAAGAGAAACAGCAGGAGATTTTAAGATATCATGGAGGGAAGGAGTCTGGGAGTGAGAGATAATCTTACATTTATATTGACACTATTTAATTTCTCCAGAGGTGTGTGTTGCTTCCTTGCTCTCACCGTGTGATGATTGCTCTTGTCTGTTTTGTTTGTGCCGTCTTATGAAGGCTCCTTTCAGTGCATGAAATGCCTACCATTTTCACTGTTCACTCATACCAATGTGGTAGCAGATGCTCTCATGATCTTTCATTTCCTGAGTGTGCAAATAAGACTTTGCCTTTTCTGGGACTTGCTGACATTGAGAGAGATTGTGATTGTGAGACCCAACTTTCTACATCCATGTGACAAGTTGAGAACAGACAAGCGTGCGTAGGCTTTGATGGAAAAATTCTATTCAAGTTTAAAATTCCAGGAGTACGTGAATACTTTGAAGATCATGTGGAGGATAAGGTCACTAAAACTATGCAAGGACAGCAGATGTATAATGGATAGAATGAAACCAAGTGTTACTTGTTAAAAATGTGTATTGACTCGATTTGGAAATGATGGCAAAGACCCAAGATGACTGAGAAAGCGAGGATAAAAGACCCTGAAACCCCACAATCAGAGAACACTCTTGTGTATCCATTTGATGCATTGGTTGTGCTCCATTCTTGCAAGAATAAAATTTACTGTCAATACATATCCTGAACTCTAGTGTCTGCCTCTTGTCATTCAACAGATATTTCTATCAGGCTCCCATTCATGCAAGAACTCAGTTTATCCCAGAGCGAGATAATCTGGGAGAGAAAGATCCTATTCAGGCTAAACAGTCATTTTCAGGCGTGTTATCTCTAAATTTTCAAGGAAAGAAAGAAACTATTCATGGTAAGAATTCTTCTCTGACCGCAGCAGGTCATAGTGGAGATTTATCATCTCTATTTTTGTGTGTGGGGGTGAGGATTGTTTTTTTTTTTTTCCCAAGTTGTCAATAACAGCACCAACATACATTTAAAGCCACATAATCGATAACTGAGATCTTATAGACACTTTTTTGATAAAAAGATTGTTTGCAGATCCAGGCCCTACACTGGCCCTTACATAACCTTCATCAAACTCTTTCTTTTATTTACAATACACACATTAATACAAATATCTTGTATGTATTTAGAAAGACAAATTCTGTTAAAAATGTCATTTTTGTGATCAGTTGACACAGCCATTAAAAAAGCTATGGTAAGTCTGTTCCTCTACACATCACTGGATTATTAGTCTACAATCGCTGGATGTGTCGGCTGTTCAGCACAGTCATATTAGCTGTTAAGTGCATGATTTATGTGCTATCTAAAAGTTTTATCCTGTGATTTTTACGCAGATCGAAGGGAGGTGTATAACATTTGTTGATGCATCATATTCACTTCAAAATAAAACTTCTTTGATACCTCTGGATTATTTTATTTAAAATCTGAATCTTAGATATCTGACACTAAAACTATATGAAAGTATAAACTCCATTAGATTTTGTTATTCTACTAAAACCCGTCATTGAGAGGTAGATGTTATGATAATGTATACCCTGCATGGTACAAACCCTCATTAAAGCATGTGAACCCTTACTGCTGTGTATCTCCCACACAAAGTCTCCCTTGCCTTCCTGTATAAGGTTTCATACTGTGCTGTCAAGTTTCAAACATTAAGATCTGTTGTCCGTATTTACATGACGAAGCACTTCAAACCTGTTTGAAATTTAGTAGATGGTTCAGCTTGGATGAACAATATTTTCCATCGTCAAAAAACTACTGAGATGAACTCGTAAAAAGTTTTTTTTGGGGGTAAATTTTTTGAACATTTACTTCAATTTTCTGTCATGATGCCTATAGTTATTGGTATTGAACAATGTTGTAAGAAAGTTGTTAAATTCATACAGGCAACTCGAATCAATCCAGCTTGAGCTTTGGCAGTTTTTTTCTCCTCACCAAAACTTTGACATCTCTGTTAGTTCTCTTTTCCTGACCACCCCATCAATGTGAAAAAAGATTGAAGAAAGAGGAAAATTAGGGAACAGTAAAAGAAAAACACTGTGGGAGTATTTTTCCACTGTGTGACATGCCGAGCTCACATAGGTATCACTTGTAGCGATTGTTTCATTGACATAACTTCACTGCTTCTTGACGCAAACGAACTTAAATCCTCCTGTGTGTGTTATTCTGATTATAAGATAAAAGAAATAAACACTTACGGTGTCTCTGTGTACAATAACGTCTCTTCGAGGTGAAACAACTTGGCAGGCGAGCAACTTCTCAGTCCACAGACGAAATTTCTTGCTTTTCCTTCTTAAAGCAGGAAGTCCTGAATCCATTTTCACTCCAACTCCCGAGAAACCCCGCGGCAACACGCCACAATTAAATCCTATTTCGACTATGAACGCTAGATGGCAGCATTGCAACAGCGTAATAAACCTTCTATTGCGCAATCTCACAGTAACCATAACACGATTTTTCTACATTCAGTGTCGACACGAATTGTTTTGTTCGGATATTATGAACCCCCTCGGTAGTTTGTGTTGTTTATTTACTTAAAACGAGGCGAACAATAACGTCAATTACAGCAGGATTACAAATCGTACAGCTCTGGTGTGGAGGTGCTGAGAAGACGATCGATTCTCATTTACATGAAAATGAGGGTGAGCGGGGCAGGCTGAGGCTGAGGAGAGGGAAAGTGAAGGGTGGTGGCGGTGGGGGGTAATGAAAAATGGAGGTGGAGGGCAAGGTGGAGAGAAGAAGGGGAGAGAAGGAGAACAGAGATAAGAGAGGAGAGCAGGGTCTTTATTTGAAGGGCAAGGAGAAGACAAGACTGCCAATGAAAACCACACTGACACTAATCGTTTCAAGGCCTTTATACTGTAGCCTGTGTGCTGTAGCCTACGAATGAGGCCTCTTCAATTTCTAACAACATCAATTAATCCTGCAGTTTCATCAGTAACATCCGGGGCAGTTTATTCCTTTGTGCCATAGACTATAGTTGTTAATAAAAAATTAACACATTAAAGACAATTTTTTCACATTTTTCAGAGTGAACTCAAGCACAGGCAGTGGTTATATCCTCAGAGTTTCATAAGCATAAAACAATCAAACAGGCTTAATTGACCTCATTAGCATATGTAATTGCCCTATGGTATGGGTTGGTCTGGGCTATCACAGTTACTAGCTTGTAAGGTAACAAAAAAATAGAAATTAAATAAAGATCTTGTTATAATAAGAAAACAAGTGTTAGTTATAGTGAGATATATCGACCAGTTATGAGAACACCAGCTTATTAACATGATATGGTGTAATGTAATGAATGAATTAAAACTGCCAGAAAGCCAGAAAGCAGGGTAAATCAGATTTATGGGTGCATGGTTGCCTCAGAATGCAGTCTTAAAGATTTTCTTTACCCTTTGCTTATTTTAACCTTTTTTCTCAGAAGCCACTTCTAGTTTTTGGGGAAAAAAATCCAAACTGTTATACAGCTAACAGTGGTGCTTGTAGCCGTCAACTGTTTGTCTTGAAAACATTGTGATATTCAGCACGTTTTTGTTTTTCTTTAGTAGTTATGTTGCTTTGTTTTAATTTAGTAATATTATATTTAGCAGGTTCTGTTTACTGTGATCTCAGATTTTTCAAATGTTTATTATATGTATGGTCAGCTTAGAGTGTCTCACTGGTAAAAAACCGTCATAACATGCCCTAGACATGAGTCTATCAACGATTAAATACTACAGTAGTGCTTCTTTTATGGATACAGGCTACACACCCTCATGATAGATGCAGAAATCCCTCTCGGCTGGTTTTACTGTTGTCTGTACATGTGTGAAAATGGAAAAAAGACACCAGAGTGGAGCATCCAGAGGTGCTCAGGTCCCTGTTGGCATGGTAACATGTAGAGAAGACCAGAAGAGGTGGGATTTAGAGGGGGAATGGATGCTGGTGGACTGTTCCATCTCTGCAAAAATAGAAATCAGTGATTATTCAGACCATTAGTCTTAATTGGGGATTTGTTAATTAATGAGATTGAGCCAGCTGTAAACTGCTTCGACTGAAACCAAAGGGGGCAGAAGGAAATTGTCAGTGAGCGCCTCTGTGTGTGTCTGAATGCCTGCACATCGGAGTGTCTGTGTGTTGGGGGAGCATGCAGCTGTCTGTGAGTGAGCAGTAGTAAATGTAAGAGTGATAGACTGAGTGAGAGAGCAGGATCCATCGCTCCAGTGCTTGCAGGGGAATTCATTCATCTTTTCAATGAAGTCATTCTCCTGTCTATGTGGCTGTAGACACACATGCATTTAGCTCACAAATGCTCCCTAGAAGCATGACGACTCGGATGCAAATTGGTTGAAAAAAAGTATGCTTCCTGGCTGCTACATTACTTTGTTGACTGATGGATATGAAAAGGCAAAATTAAGTGCACAAGGGGAGGCCTGCGGCTTGTGTTTGTTATCAAATAAATGAATACTTGAATACATTTGTTTGAAAGGAATATATGCATCAACCAAAATACGAGATAGTCTGTAAAGCTTAAAGATTACACAATAGAGGGTCATTTAATGAGAATCATAATATTGTCAATGTAAGACCATAAAGAACTGATACATCTGTTATATGGCATTTCACCTGCTGTAAATTAACTGTCAAGTATCTGGGGATATATCATTACAGCAAAAACCGATCCAATTCAGACAAAATGTAACCTAGTATATCTGATTTTCAAAAATGTAGGCTGAAGCATTACATCATTCACTTATTTTAAGGTTAAGAGTTAAACTCTCAATTGCTGTCATTTTTTGTACTCATTGTGGACAAAGTCTTTGCTTATCTTGTCCTCTAGATGCTTGTCTTCTATCAAAAAATTGCATCCTGACTTTTGATGGTCATATGTATAATTTTTGTAAATACTTAAAGTGAACAATAGTTTTTAGACAATTTTCACAGAATCCTTTATGGTGATGAAAAAGTTGTACTGATCTGCAAAGTGATTTTATTGTGTTTTGGGAGTATTTTAGACCTTTCTCAGCACTATCTGCAGCACAGCTGAGCAGACAGTAGTCCAGAACTGGGAAAAATATATCATTATATTTTTTTAATGAAAGTTTTCCTGAAATCATTGGCATGCTCATATTGGTGCTTAATCAGCGTAGAATGGGTCAATATAAAAAAAAAACATCAAATCCTAAGTGATTTATTCTCCCCATTAGCATCAGTTTAAATTTCAGAAATCCTGAAGGCTATCTTTTGAACAAAAAATATTTCACATTGTAGTGCTTCCTGAAATCAAAGCATTATTACATTCCCTTACAGTCAATTATAGATTGTTAATTGCCTGATAATTAAAGATACATTGTGCATATTTTTTAATTTAAGACAATGCTTTGCAGAACAATGAGGTCACCATCTCTCTCATTCTCTCTCTCTCTCTCTCTCTCTCTCTCTCACACACACACACACACACACACACACACACACACACACACACACACACACACACACACACACACACACACACGTTAGTTTTGGTGGCATCTTCATGATTGACAACAACATTGTTTCCATGGTAAAAAGATGGCCTCTTCGCGGTTTTCAGTCAAACTGCAGTACTCCCTGACGCCCGCCGACACCACTGATGGAGAGCTGCGCCAACCCACACAGAAATATGTGGTACAGGACCGGAAACAAATTAATGTTGCTTTCAAAACAAAAGTTCTGAAGACAGAAAGACTTATTTTTAAATGTTAGTTATTTGAGATTTCATTTTTTTTTTCCAATTTGATGTTCTCTTTTTATCTGTAGCAACCTGTTTCAGTTTCACTTGACTCTGAGTACCTAGTCCTCTGATTACCCCCCCCCCCCCACACACACACACACGCACCCTTACAACCGAGTAAATACCACCATTAAGATCTCAATCTAACATCTCAAGTCCCCCAAATTCATGAACTAAAATCCATGTGTGCAAGCGTTCTAAATTAAATATATAAACCATTACAATAACGACTAGTCTCACACTTGAAATGTTGTAAAACGATCGTCTTTTTTGTAAAGATGCTTGAGATGTTAAATAAAATCAGCTCATAAGATTAACTTTGTGAATGAACAATTTTGCAAAATTGAGCGAAACACTTACCACTGGGTCATTTTTTTGTGTGTTTTTAAAATATGCCCCAAATTATGTTTCTCTGTTATACGTTATTGTTTCAGCGTTGATGTGCAAGCATTCAATTATTATTACTCAATTATTTCAAGCCTTTATCTAATATTCTGTATTTCTTTATTATCTTTTTATCAGCAGTTTTTGATTTGACCCATTATGTTAGACCGAGCATTCGTGTCTACTACTGTGTAAATGTATTAAGCTCTTATTTTGAAGTGTTAAAGCGGAAGTGGCCTAACTCCATCCTGTGTAACTTGGCAGAGGACAGCGGGGCTCGATGGTGTTTTTTCTGGGAGGAGTCGAAAGAGGCATCGAGCCGAGCAGGCAAAGAAAACAGCAATAAGAGATAACTAATGGTACAAACCAGGCATTGTGAGACTTGGACGTTACCACATAGATGAAGTTCACCGGGGATAGCTTTCGTGGACCGTGTTTTGGTGGAGCCTGTGGGTTCAGACTTTTAATGACCGAGCAGGCGTACTGGACTCGTGAATAAAGGGGGAGCACAGGCGGACAAGGCGACATCAAAGGACTCCCAGGTCATTATGTGCAGCTATAGCACTATTCACATTATTATTTCACACTCATGGGCTGAATAGTGGCCGTAAGAAGGAATTAACTAGCTTTGTAACCAGTCTTTGTTGCCCATTGTTGGCGCTTTTGCTCACCGTGTGCGATTTTCCGAGCGATAAAAAGACATGCTAACCCCCGTTAGGCTGCAAAGAAAGAAAACACCGCTTTCTTAACCGAGCTCCTTTGGGAAACCTTGTCTTCCAAGTTGAAAAAGTCCCATTTTGCAGAGAGATGTGTAAGTTGAATTCATGCTTTCCTCAGACGAATAAATGGTAGGCCTGATGCACTTCTGCCTCTTTTTCTTTGTTATTCAGCCCAAGACAAGGAGGTAGCTGGACCTGTCCTGCTCTCAGTTTTAAAACCTTTATTTTGGAAACTTTCAACCCCTCACTAAGCGTTAGGAGTTGGAGAAGGAGCGCCCTCTGTACTTTTCCTTCCAATTTCCCTTCACAATAAGTGACATATTGAGAGTATATGGAGAACCAGGCTGGCATGATGTTGGGACATATTGGACTGAGTGGACTGTCTCAGGAAGATGTGGGCGATCCTATAAACATGAGGAAACATCAGAACATGGGTCAGCCCCAGCAGGACATTGGTGACATCCTCCAGCAGATCATGACCATGACAGATGAGAGTCTGGATGAGGCCCAGGCCAGGTAATAGCCTTTCAACAGCGCTGTATCGTCACTAAGCTTGCACAGTCTTACACATATATTATGCACTGTTCACTATAGTAACACCCTCAACATATATCTCATTTAAAAGGATAATACCATCTTCTGATTCTTAGATATCTCTGTCATAGCCTTCAGCTTTGCATCTTCAACTTAATCCACCTTTTCTCAGCTGTTTTCCCTTTTACTGTGGTCACTTAACTAACTCAGACCAATGTCAGATTTATTAGACTTCTTCTTGCCTGATGATTACAATTTGACCATTATAGCCACACATGCACAGCAGCTGTGCATTATTCACCAGGAAGGTCTGATGTTTAGAAGAAGCAGACTATTACTATACAGTACTACCAATCAAATTTAAGAGTTAGGCACAATCATGTAATTGATTATCCAAACATCTTGTTCCCTTTTTCTTATAAGTGAATTTCCACTTTTCGCACTATGAATCTGATTACAAACTGATTCACAAAGCGTGGTTTCTTGGGCACTAAAAGAGGAAACCATTTCATCTTATTTTGGAGCACACAAATTCAGTCCTTGGAGAACAATGTAAAACAGACTTTTTTTGTAATTTCATCATGTTTTTGTCTCCTCAGGTTTCCATATTAACTCTGTTTAAACCCTCTCATCATCATTAACAGCCTCTGTCACCCAGACAGAGCAGTTTGCTGAGACATTGTACCCACAAACACTTTCAAATGACAGTTGAATCTGACCTTTAACCCCCTGGATGGACGCAGAGTTGTGGCATAAACCCACAAGTTTTAAGTTTTTTGGTGTTGAGTGCAAAAGTTACCTTGCATGATCATGCTGAAAACCACATGGTAACCCACATGACTGGATGGTAAATCGATACTAATCTGCATCTTATGTTGTTAATTTATTCAAAGAAAAAAATGGTCCAGTCATTTGTACAAATGCACACTTTGAAATGGGGCCAAGTTTCTCAGTGGATGACAGTCTCGGGGCTTTAGATTAAATGTCAGCAGGGAAAGAGCGAAACATCTGTGCCTCAGTGATGGAACAGAAAAAATGACTTCATACTGCTTTAGAGATTAATTGCTCCCAGTCTTGTTGTGGGTGTTCAAGTACATACAAGCCTTTTCTCTTTTCGTTTCAAAGTGTTTCTGCATGGTTGTACCTTCAGCCTCATTGCTTCCTTCAGTGTATTCAGGTGAATCAGTCAACAATGTGCCCAGGCCTGATTTCAGTGGAAGACTTCAACTCTCACTCACCTGCACACAGTCTGTTCAGCACTGACTCACTTTGCATTCACCTGATCTGTTGTTGATGGATGTAAGGCTATGTAAACTGAGAAAACTACATCAGTCAACACAAATCTATCCTTTTTTTTTCAAGTTTTAAACTTGTGTTTCTCTGTCTTTTATTTTCCATTACAGGAAACATGCTTTAAACTGCCACAGGATGAAACCCGCCCTCTTCAGTGTCCTGTGTGAAATGAAAGAAAAGATGGGTAGGTTTTCCATTTACTTCCTGCTTGATGTTAACGACTAATAACTCATCACAGACAACAGATGAGAGTGATTACACATCTGTGTTTTTTATTTTAAACTTGTCCCCTTACATTTTCCCCCTTTCCTCATTATCAAGAATGAAAAGAGGGGATTTGAAAGGAAAATGAGACTATCTGTTCTAGTACAACTATTTTGGTTGGATATTTTTGAACATAACAAAACTAGAGGGAGTTACAATTATGTTATTTTTTCACCTGCTGTAAGATAATCTGAAACATAGCACATAGCAGTGTGAGCGACTCGGCTCTTGTCTCTAACTATGCTATAGAATAGTCAGTGTGAGGTTGGCAGGAGGAGAGATGCAGACTTTCCATGGCAACTAGTTGTGCCACCAACTCACTGCCATTCAGCTTTTCCACACTTTAATAGCCTGAATCTTTAGAGTGGGACACAGGGGTAAAAAAAGCAGAAACTTGGGAAAGAAGATAAAGAGTCAGTGCTTGGGGTTTGTAGGACAGCAGAAAGAATACACATTATCCCTTGCAGCCTTAAACTATCTTGAATTTATTGCTATGAATTGGTAATAACTGAAGTAAGGGAGATCTGTGTGGTAAATACGGATTATTTACCCCCAGCTTTGTTCAAGTTTTTTTTATGTAGTTTATGTCATTTTAACTAAAATTGGGGAATAACACCAGTGTGGTGGTGACACTGTATCCAAATTAGTCCAAAGAAGAAGAAAGTGAAGGAAGTTGAGGCCGGTATTTCAGGTGTAACATGATGATCGCCAAATGCACATTCAACCTGCAGAGGCATTGTTCATATGAGAGAGTTAACTGAGACTGAAGTTGATCTCTCACACTGATAGACTTTATAGTTACACGTAGCCTCACCAGACTCTGTGATCATGCGTCCTGTATCCGTTTAATGCTCATAGTCTCAAATCCATTTTGTCTGTCTAGCTGCCCTGAAATTGTTTGACTCTCCACATAGGATCACTGTCTAGTAGAAAGAACCAGGCTGAAAAGATGCAGCCCCCTGTCATGGTTACCTTTTCCCCTGTTTTCACATGTAGCCAAACTTTGACCATCTAAAGAACAGAAGTTAGAAGTTTTCTGTCGCCACAGTTACCTCCTTTTTTTCTTTTTCCAAGTGTTTACTCTTACCCCGTTCTCTACCGTAAATGATGTGCTTCAAGGACCCGTTACATTACAGGCCCTTAGAGTCCACCCTGATTAGTGCAGCCTTAGAGACTACTTGTCTAAAGTCTTGTATCAAATTCAACATTGCATCCACCTGCAACAGCTTAATCATGAAGTCTCTAACATGTAGGGACTAGAGGAGACAGAAACCAACAGTGAATAAATTTACGGGTAATGGAAAAACATGTAATGCTTTGGCTCAGTGGTGTGTTGATGCACAGCAGCTCAGCTTTGTGTCCCTCCAGAGTAACTGTGTGAGGTTTAAGCTTCTTAATCTGCTGGTTTTGATATTTGACTGAAAGCAAACATGCTGGATGTTAAGTGATCAAATGGGTTTGTAATCGGATTATCATTCTGAATAACCAGCAATAACTAGTAATAACAAATCAACACAGAGCTACCCATTTAAAGTCCCACTCCGTTTTTTTTTTTTTTTTACTATTTTAAGTGTTCTCAGTGTTCTTTAAATTGTGACTATGAAGTTTTGAGCCAAAATCCCATTATGTGTGTCATTTTCAAGAGCTTTTCTTCTGCAGAGCTCCAGTAGATCATTAGCAATTCACCTCTGAGTCATGGGCGGAGACAGCGCTGCTCTGCACACGCCTCTTCATGCTAGCTTGCAGCCTAACATTGCCGGTGTAGTAGAAATGACAGGTAACATAGGAGCTATTCAGCTCTCAGACACTAATGTCTGTAGGGGCATGATATCATAACGAGCTTTCTTACGAGCATTGCAATCCGCCACCGCACACACTTGTTCCGCGATCGCCCTCTCTATTTCTCAGAGCCTGGCCTGCATACTTGGGCTCTGGGGGCGGAGCTTGGATTTGTGACATACAAAATCTCAGTGTATCTGAACCTGCTGTTTGGGTCTCCCAGATGTTCACAGCTATTTAAATACAGAAATACTCAGAAATGCAATTTTGTACTTATTTCTCTCACAATATGTCCTCTAGCATTAGAAAAATGCCATATGAACAAGTAGACAACAAGAAAAACATGATTTTCATCGGAGTGGGTCTTGAAACTTGGGGTCTGGTGTGCAGGTCTTGCACCTCTTGTCAGCACGCGATGTGAGCACTGGTAACAGTCTGTTGTTTGACTCTACCCTCCATCCTTGTGTTGCTTCCCACTGTCATTGTTTTCTCCTCACTTACATCCATTAAAAATAACTCCTCACATGACAGCAATAGTGACAAACTCAGCCCACTTGTCATTCTATATCCGCCTTTCTTTCCCCTCCTTCCTGCCTCCCTCTGTCATTTTTTTCCTGGTCTAGTTATATCTCTCTATTTTTATCAACCACTTTTTTTTCCCCTTAGAGTTCAGAACAGGACAGAGGAAGAGTAAAAAGTGAGATAAAGATATGATGACACAAAACAGAAAGACACATGGCTTCAGAGATGGGACAGGAAATGTAAAGAAAAAGAAAGTAGAGATAAGAAGGGGAGAAAGAGTGACAGGTTGATGGATGAGATGGAGGAAGAGGCAGTAACGGTCATGTTGGGAGGATTGACAGGCGGTTGATAATCTCCAGACCCTGAAGCCTGTCAGACTTCACAACAATCAAATTCTCAGAGGGGGACGGTTCACCTCCAGTGACCTTAAACAGCTGAATTTACTCTGTCAGGTCTTTGACGTGACGCATCATTTCTCTACTTCTTCTGTGCTACATTTATTTTTTAGGTTTGTCTTATCTCTGGTGTTAAGACTTCATTTTTTTTTTTACTGTGAAATGAAATCAATTAAAACTTCTTTATTATCCTACCAACAAGCTGATTCTATCAATACCCTATTTTCAAACTTTTTCATGGTTTTAACAACAGCAACTTAATTCTTTGTCAGGAGCTTTTAACTGGTTTTCAAACAGACTGATTTGTACTAATGCCTCGACATAACCTAAAAAAAGCAAGCAAGGCATTCAGAAACAGGACTGTCTATTTCTGTAACGAAAGTTTTGATGCCTCAAACTGCTGCAGGGGGGCAGATGTCAAACCAGATGATTGACAGCACATGTGAAACAGCCTTTTAGACTTTTTAACTGCAAATATTCACAACGAGTGACACTTTTGGGTGTCATAAGAAAGCAGGAGATTTTTCAAGTCAGAAAATACTACACAGCTTTGTGAAGGACAGGTTCAGCAAAGAGATCAAATGGATATCTTTCCCTCAGGAGGCACCAACAACACAAACCAAACGTTCCTCTCAGCAGCTTTACAGGATAAAAGGAAATGAGTTGTTGGGCCAGTTAGTTGGGTTGAGTGAAAAAATCTTGTGGGTGGGTTTAACAAGGAAACACAGAAATCTCTCTAAAACAAAGATGTCAAAAATATGGAAGTAAAAAATGTGGATATTCTTTGAGATTGAAGCCATAAGAAAAAAAAATGCACAGAACCAACGATAAACCTTGAATATTCCCAGAGACTGTTCTATAAACGGTTATAAACCAATCTCAGCTCGTTGCAGTGGACACACACACACACACACACACACACACCCCTGGCTCGATAGACAGCACCTGTGATTTACAAGCTGAGCTGGTGAGTTTCCAGGTCCACATTTCTGAAGTTTTAGGCCACTGCTGAAAGAGTAAGAGTGAGCTGAGTCTGATTATACCTTTTTCTACTGTGGTAAGAAGACCCATTCCTTGTTTGGTGAATGAATCTTACAATGTGAACAACCCAAAAATAAAAAGAGAGATTCCTGCCTCTCAGACCTCTCTCTCTCTCTCTCTCACTCTCTCACTCTCTCACTCTCTCTTTATCCCTCTCTTGAGTTAAACATGTAATTCATTATCCATTAGAATAGTTTTCCCCAGCACACAAATCTAGACTCCCACTGATGAATCAGTTTGGTGATAGCGTGGTATTTAGCTCTTCAATTCTCAAAGAGTATGTGACTTATTTCTCATTCAATTCTGGAGATTTTGTGCTTTTTCTCTGAATACCCCCTCCCCCTGGTTCCTGTAACTAAGTTCGTTTTCCCCTCGATATCTTACATGAATAATTTGGCTCAGGAGGTGTTAATATAGGACAGAAATAAAAGGCTGAGTTAGAAGCAGTGAGGCTGAAGTGTTAAACAGTAAGAATGTACATATGAATGAGGAGGAAAAATCAAAGGGTGTCGACATAGACTCTATGATTACCTCTGAGTTGCTGGATTATTTTTTCAATCCCAGTTAATCCCGCACACCAGTGTGGAGGTAGTGCTGGTGTTTGTGAGTGTGTGTGTTTGTGTGTCTGTCAGGCAGACGCGTGGGCTGTCATCGACCTCATTGAAGGATTATAAATATGAGACGATCTCTGGAACTACACCGTAATTGCCTCCTAATTTGCATAAGCGTGCAAATTAACGACCTCTCAAATGAGCTTTCATTTTTCACAGGGTCTTTAGCAGCTCCTTAAGAGCTGCCATTAATTAACAGCTGTGTGGGTGTGTGTGTATGTGTGTGTGTGTCTGTTTGTGCAAGAATGATAGTGTATGTGCGCCTCTATTTCTTTGGGTATGAGGATGCCAAGAAGTGCTGGCACCAAAGCCGTAGCAACAGCTAATGTTTATCTTCATGTAAACCCGTCTGTCTCTGCTCTGCGGCTCATATTTAAAACTGAGTCCTGGTACATCATTCTCTGAAGTTCATTTAGGTTGTCTGTGGAGACTTTAAATGAGAGTATTTGTTTTGGTTCACAGTTGTTCTCTTTAGAGGGGCTGCACCTTTTATCAAATGCCAGCAACAATGATGAAAAATCAAATAATCCATTAAGTCTTTTTCAAGCAGAAATGAAATATTTGCCTGTTTTAGCCAGGGCTGAAACGATTCCTCGATTACAAAAAATGATTGAGGAATTTTCTCTGCCTTGAGTATTCTTCATAAACTCAAATCGTCACAGTTTCGCACAGATTATTTTCAAAGTGACGCAATGCGCTTACATCACCACGGTAGAAGGAGGAGCAAGCACAGTTTTGGTTTTGCAAAGTGGAAAAAATGAATGATGAGAGAGGCTTTTCTTGTGAAGAACTCTGGTAGGTGAAATATTTTTTTTTTGTCGGATGGTAGGGAAAGGTCCCACCTTCCTTCGCCTCTGATTGGCTAGAAGTGCTGGGCTCCGATTGGTTATTCCTTATGGCTGTGAAACGTCATCATCTGTCGGGTTAGGCTTAGGGTTAGGAGATTCAGAAGTGCGATAATGTTCTGTAATGTTCTATTCGATGTACAGAGCCGACAGCCCACGTTTGGCTTTAGCGTGTGATGACGTTTCCAGCTTTTCTAGCCAATCAGAGGCAAAGGAGGCGGGACTTTCCCCTACCATCCTATAAAAAAAATCACCGCTGGTAGCCCTTAGCACTTCACCTCTGAGTTGTGGGCGGAGACAGCACAGCTCTGCACACTCCTCCATGCTAACTTGCAGCCTAACATTGCTGGTGTAGTAGCAGAGGCAGGTAACATAGGAGCTATTCAGCTCTGGGACACTAATGTCTTTGGGGGCATGATGAAAGTTAATATCATAATTAGCTTTCTTACGAGCATTGCAATCCGCTACCACACACGCTTGTTGCGTGATTGTTCCGCGATAATTGCACTTTAACTAAAAATTATGTTTTGTCCAATTACTCGATTAATTGAATACTCAATTACAAAATTTCTCGATAGCTGCAGCCCTAGTTATAGCTTCTTAAATGTGGAGATTTGCTGCTTCTCTTCACCATTTAGGATATAAATCCAAGTGTTTCAGGCTTTTCAGTGATCCATCTTAGAGGTGATACTTGGCCTTGACCCCTCAAAATGTTGACAAAAGGATTTTTTTTCTACCAAGTTTTTAATGTATCGCAGACTCACAGATATATTTGAAGTCAAACAATAGACAGGAAGATCAATCACGAGAAAAAAGCAGCCCTATTTATTGAGTGTCTTAATGCTTTACTTGCATGAAGCCTTATGGTCAATAGCTGGCAGTCACACACTTCATGCTGTTTAGGAAGAGACATGGGGTAAATTTAGTGTCTGGGGGCTAAAAGATGACAAACCTGGGCTCTCAAGTGCCATTTGGTAAAAACTGAGTGTTCATTCTCAGAGTTTTTTCACCTTGTGTTTTTAGGATCTATTTCTGAGGCTCATTTAGAGAACGACTGCAGCAAGAAACAATTGAGTGTGCTGTTGAAATATTGTATGTATGTCGTTTGTCTTGTGCTGTAGGAGAGTGCTCTCTGCTGGTTGTTACAGTGATATAACACACACTATATATGTCATAGTGAGATGGTGAGGCAATACGTAATGCACAATAACTTTAAACTCCATCCCGTCTCATAGTTATCCAGTCACACATTGATTCTGTTTGTTCTCGACTGTGTTCACAGCATGACTTTGTGCTTCACACTGTAAGGTAGTGTCTATCGAATTAAGTTATCAAGATTAGTGAGCAACTCAGCAGCTTAATGAGTCAAGTATCGACTGAGTCATTGAAACTTAAAATCCTTCAACATGCCTCTGATCAGCAGGGATTACAATGGTTGGTAGCAGTTTGACTGAAAGCCAGCAGGTCTTGTGCCAAACGGTGTTATGTAGTTGTAGTTACATGTATGTTCAGTGTGAAACCAGTTTCTCCTGTCCAACCAGACTGAGTCAGACATAATGACGAGACAGCATTACATAAGCAGCTTCAACCAGCTTTGTACTCTGCGCTCCATTGTCTCTCTTCACCCTTTGATGTCTTTATTTTGGATTAACTTGTAGAGTGATTTGTGCCACTGATTAAAATAATTCTCCTTATTTGAGAAAACACTTACCAGTTGTGAGGATATTGTATGAATGTTTCTGTTCATCTCCACAGCTCTGGGTATCAGGGGTATCCAGGAAGAGGATGGTCCAGACCCTCAGATCCTGCGACTGGACAACATGCTGTTAGCAGAGGGCGTGGCCGGTCTGGAGAAAGGCGGGGCCTCTGCAGCCGCAGCTGCGGTCGCTCTTGCAGCTGGAGGGTCACCCAATGATGGGAGCTTACAGCATGAAGAGTACAGAGAGAAGCTGGCTCAGATACGACAGATGTACCACTCTGAGCTGGAGAAATATGAACAGGTGTGACATTTGAGTAAATAAAAGTTTGATTTGTGTCCACTTGTCAGCTGCTGTGATACTAAAATAAGTCTTTTCTGTTCAAGGAAAATTATAGTTTTTCCTCTCTCTCTCCGTAAGTCAACCCTCTCAATCCCTCCACTCCCACAGGCATGTAATGAATTCACCGACCATGTGATGAACCTTTTAAGGGAACAGTCCCGTACCCGACCCGTCTCCCCCAAAGAGATCGAGCGTATGGTGGGAATCATCCATCGCAAGTTTAATACCATCCAGATGCAGCTAAAGCAGAGCACCTGTGAGGCTGTCATGATCCTGCGCTCCAGATTCTTGGATGCCAGGTAGGAGTGTTCAACAGACAACCTAACCCGGGATGAGGAGGAGGGTCGCTGACTTTTCATTGTTGTATTGTCACTTTTGTCTCATAGACGGAAACGGAGAAACTTCAGCAAGCAGGCGGCAGAGGTTCTGAATGAATACTTTTACTCCAATCTGGCGAATCCATACCCCAGTGAGGAGGCCAAGGAGGAGCTGGCTAAGAAGTGTTCCATTACTGTCTCTCAGGTCTGAATGACAAAGACACACTGGGGAAAATGGGGCTGTTCTTCAACTACAGGAGGGTCACGTTAGATAAATATTGGCGGGTTTGTGGGCCACCAAGAGTATTTAAACAGCACAATATTTAATGACAACACAACATGTTTAAAAAGCACTATTACAGACAAAGCTGTTTTTCTTAGAATAAGCTGTGCATGCCTTCTATTTTTACTTTCTCAAGCTACATTCAAAACATAACTTCATGGTTTATTGCTTGTTGCAGCGTGTAGCGTGCATATTTGAATCTGGAAATATTTGAAATATGCTTCACCTTTAACCCAGTGGACTGTTTTTATATCACATTCCTGCTTTGCTTTGCATTTTTAATGGGGTTAGCTCACAAATGCTTGCTCCAGCCTCCTCTTTACACAAGGACAGTCTGCACTAAGTTGTTCTAACCTAATCTTAATCATATTGCTGACACTCCAGCCTAACCTGGAGGTGGCCTCTAGGGGGTTTTTCAGAAAAGAGAGATTTGTATCCAGGCCAAAGGCTGCACGTCAGATTGCCCTGGTTTAGTCTTGCTGCATGTTCTGGCCAGCCTTTGACCCATTTACCCCTCTGACTCCCTCAGGTGTCTAACTGGTTTGGTAACAAGAGAATTCGGTACAAGAAGAACGTTTCAAAGCTCCAGGAGGAAGCTAACATGTATGCCAGGAAGACAGCCGCCTGTGTGTCTTCACAGGCCAGCCAAGGGAACTCCCCAGCCACTCCAAACTCTGGTACATACACTCATATATACCCTATACCTCCAGACACAGCACTATTTATCAGCTGAACCTTTTCTGCCTTATTTCTGCCTCTTCCCCTCCTGAGTAGATGATGCCAACACTGTCAGAAAAAAAATGTAAATCAAACTTTAAATCAGTGAGATTTAAAGGCCAGGAAGAGGATCAGGTTTAAACAAACCATCAAAGTCATAGACGTCCTACAACCTCTTAGTCAGTCGCTCTTTTAGTCAGTGTTTTTACCAACTGAATCAAAAAAGTCTGAGTAGGAAGCATGCAATTTCACTCTAACTTTCAGGTACAGATCTTAAATAATAAAGTATTCTGTTTGGTTAGTTAGATTTTTAATGACTTATTAAGAGTGCACCTCCACTGGTACCTTTCAAAAGTAGACTGGGCATCTATAATAAGTCGTAAAACTTCATTCATCCTCTTCAGTGCTCCTTTGACTTGTAGGTCCTGCTGGACTCTGTTTCTTTTCTCTACGCGATGACAGCCTTGTCTAAGAAAAAATGCATGTCAGTAAAGTTCGAATTGGAAGTCTGTTTTTCTTTGTGTGTAAAGCAATGCTTTGTGTGTGTCAACAGGAGGATACCCGGCACCATGTTACACTCCTGACGGCAGGCTATGAGGGCATACCTGAAGTAACTCTCTCCAGTCCCTGTTGTCTCCATGTGAGTTGCTATGGTTACACACTCTCCGGATGAGTAGCCATGGTAACAGTGTATCCCTGTGTTCGTGTGTTGTAAACCAAGCTGATGGAGGTCCTTTGCAATACTGCACTTCATCACATACTGACTCTGAAGTAAATTGTAGCATTAAAGGAAACGTTCACACAAAATGTAGGTCTTCTAAAAAGAGATTTAAGTGTCTCAGCTCTAAATTTCCCTGCTCCGTTTTGGATTGGTCTACTTAATTACTTATTATTTATTACAGCGAAGTCACTGAAATTCTATAGACAAAGCAGATACAGCGGAGTTGAAATGTATAAGAGCTTGCCTGTCTTTAACATTAGCATTGAGTGAAAGTTGTTACTGGTAGTGACAGACAAAACCACAAATACAAAAATAGTGATCAGCATACTTGCACTGGGCCACCAAACAGAACAAATATACAAAGAAAATCAATATTTGTGTTATATTATGTCAAATGTGGTGAACATACTATACACAGTGTTGATGTAAAAGTGATTTTTTTAGTCTGGGGGGATAATTGGACTTTGCAGCTGATGCCCTGTTTTGCTCTTTTTCTGTAGGTCTCTGATGTTAGACAGGACTGAGGCAGTTTTCTCATCTCCTGACTCCTAAACACCAGACAGAACACACCACATCACCTTCAGCTGAGGCTCCACCCACCATCCCTGCTTGCCATCCAGGGTTGTGCAACCCTAGCTATAGGCTAACCTCCTGCTGAGCCACAGACTCTGCAAAACTCTGGACAGTTTTTTCTTCCTCCCCTCTTCCATGCTTGTTGACATCTTAGTTTTTTGGATTTTTTTGTTTGTTTCTTACAAGTGTTGACAGTTTATTTTGAAGTGTTACAAAAAGATAAAAGAAAAAAGAAAGCATGTGATAGTCTTTTTTAGATGTTGAACTATTATTTCATTAATTTTTTTACAATAAAGTTGTCAACAACATTGTTTGTTACTCTATAGAGTTGCTCTGGTTGAGAGCCGGGTTTGAGTTTATTTCCATCTAAAGATTGTAAAATGGACGTTGTCGTTTGATATTGTAAATACAATGATTGCTTTAACAGGTAGTGGTGTTTCTTTAATGCTTTTAAAGCAACTAAACCAAAGAGGCTTTAACCCAGGAGGTCAGTGTGTTGTGCTCATGTGCACACTCGAACTATCTCACATTTTATAATTGTCTTCAGTTTCAGATACAGATGCAGTTTGAATTGAACCATGTATGTCTGGTGGGAACTCACCTGTGCCCTCCAGTGCAGGGCTGTGGCACTGCATCTTGTTGTCTTCTGGATATTTTTAACAACTGTGTTGACAGTACAAGGCTAACCAGTTTGACGGAGGAGTTTTTTAGTCCACAAAAGCTTGTTTTTGCTGTCTTCTTTTCTTATCACTTGTTTTTTTTTTCCAGTCCCATCACTCTTATTTCTGAGCCGGTCCATAGTATTGCTGGAGACCTAAAGAACAGAGCAAAGGTTTTGTGTCTGCTGCAGAGATTTGACAAATGTCAAAATAAAGTATCTTACTTATTCAGAGGGTGAAACAAGGTCAAACGATGTATTAGTTAGTTTGATCAGATGCTCCTGAAGTGCTCACCACCGCAAATTAAAAAGAGAATGAAACAAAAAGTCCTGATCATGACCTCACAGGACATAGTACTGATTTTGAACAAATAGGTGACAGTTTTTTGCCTCTAAAAGTAATTATTTCAATAGTTAAATTTCATCGCACTCCTTTAATCTTAATAAAAATTAAACTGTATCCATATATGTGTTGTAAAAACAGTTTTTGTAACTCATACAGCCTGTTCAAATTGTTTTTTACTTGTTTTGTTATTCTGCAAAGAGTAATTAAAATCAATTCAGATATATTCTTTTGAATGTCCTTTTCCTTTCCCAAAATGATCTTAATGTAATTCTGTGGGGACCTGGATCAATTCAAGTTCAATTAGCTACAGTTATACATGTGAAAGTCCCCCTCTGCAAATTCTGGTGCTGCTTTGAAGAGGTAGATAAACCCTCTGTATGTTTATTCATGTTTTGAGGACTATTACTAGATGTCACTGTAGATGACCTGCTGAAATACAAATTCAGTGACAGCTGGCAGGAAAGAATCAGGGACATTTGGACTCTACAGTTCTTTGAATTCTGTTTGATCAGCCGCTCCAGGCCCTCTAATGAAGGTACAGTCTGAAGAGAAATCATTATCTGTGAAAACTGAACTGATGAAGTCAGTGTCCATATCTCTGTTTTTCACACGAGATAAAAGTGGCAGGAAATCACTCACAGCTCAGTGGACAACTCATACGTGACTAGCTTAGCATGTGAACCCAATGTGGGCCAATGTTGAGTGAGGGGTCAAAGGTAGAAAGTGATTGTTGAAAGAGGAGACAGAGACAGACAAAGCGTTCAGAGAGAGAGAGAACCCGGGAGAGAAAGTGACACTTCTCTGTTCATCATGGATTTCTTACCTGCGATTCTGATCCTTTCTTCTCTCTTATGCTCAGGTAAGAAACCTACAGGATGTTTCAAACTGAAGAAAATATTTTAATTTTTTTAACCACATTTCTGCAAATCCTGATGATATCTGCTGATTTTGGTAGAAAAACGATATTTCTCATGGAGAAACAGAGTCCTATGTTTATAACATTTCTTGCTGTAAGGGCAGTTTTCATGAGTCTGGTCCTCCCCAAGGTTTCTGCTTGTTCAAAGGAAGTTTTTCCTTGTCACTGTCACTCATGTTAGATGAGATGGGTCAAATCTGTCCCATCTTAAGGTTGAGTCTTGGTAATTCATCAAATAATGAACGTGGTCTAAACCTGCTCTCTTTTTGGAAAGTGTCTTGGAAAAATGACAGTTGTGATTTGGTGCAATTTGATTGATTGATTTTCTGATTACTCCAAATATTCCGTGGACCCACTGACACCTGTTTTCATTAAGACTGCTTTCTGTTAAAAAATATCCCTGTTTGGTTACACTTTCTGAGCATTATCCAGAGTAATAAGGTCATCCACTTCTGTGAAAGCACCAGCAGCATCAGAGAACTCTTAAACAAGGGCAAGTCAACACAAAACAATCTGCATGACTGACCATTTTTGAAATTTAGGTAATGCAACCCTCTAATACAGTCATTTTGAGTAAAATGATTAAGTGGATGTCTCTGTTTTATGCACTTCTCTTACAGTTTGAATATTTCTTATGTGCTTTATCTTCATTTTGCTTGTGTTCATCTTGTGTATTTACTTTAGTTATTTGCTTTGAGGTCAGTGTTCGTTTACTCAGTATTTTACCCAGACCTGTCTAAAGGTTCACTGAGTTGCACTCTGGCTGTGTGTCTGCAGTGTCTAGTCAGGCTCCTGTGGTCTCAGTGGAGCCCCGCTCAGCAACAGTGCGCCAAGGGGAGTCAGTCAGCTTCAGGTGCCAAGTGGGGAGAGGAGCACAGCCAATCCAGATTGAGTGGAAAAGAGCCAATAACCAAGCTTTACAAGGTCAGGATTAAAAAAAAAACATGACATTGTTTAAACATGATCATCTGTAAACTATCACTTCGATTATTTTTCTTTTCTTTCCAGACAATGTGAAGATTGGTCCTGGAGGCACTGTGCTGACAGTTGTGAACTCTCGTCCTGGAAATCAGGGCTCATACCGCTGTGTGGCCAGTAATTCTGCAGGCCGTAGCAGCGCCACAGCTGTGCTGAATGTCAAATGTGAGCTCATTGTCAAGATTCAGACAAATATGAGATTCCCCTGACGGGATATTTTATCTCTCCTGCTTTTAAATTTGAAAATTTAAACTCAACAATGACACAAGAAATTGTCCACTAACAGTTTAGCCTCTTTTGCACTATTAGCTTATAAGTTATCCCAGGTCTGTCAGCAAATTTATTCTCAGGAGTCATCTGTCATGTGTTTGCTTCAATCAAAAGGCTTTAAAAACCTACCTTACCCTACACCTTTAACACTAGAACCGCCAAAATTCCAATCCCCCTAGAACTGCTGAGGGCGTCATTTTGACCCCCTAGCTCCAATAGCATCAGTGATGCTACAATGACATTTCTAGAAGGTGTCAGGTGATGTGTTCTCATCTATTTTTAAATAATGATGGAAACTTGGCAGAATAAGTGTTGAAAATATATTTGTTTTTTTAAGCAAATAAATAATCATTTTAATCAAAAAGGTAAAATAGATTTTCAAATTCAACAAACTGTAGGAACTGTTTGACAATTAATGTAATAATCAAATAATATATTTACAACAACAGAATAACAGATTTCTCTATAATAATAATAATAATAATAATAATTTAAGAAGAACATAAAAAATGGCCTGACGCTACGCTCTTTTGCCCACACATTTTTACATTCATGAACAAGCTGTAGGAACTGTTCAACAAACAAAGAAATGATCAAATAACAATGTATTTGCAATAACAAAACAACCTATTTCTCTATAATAATAACAGCAATAATAATAATAATAAACTGTGCATAAAGTGATGGCCGTGTACAGTGTTTTATATGAGGGGGCAAAAATGTCTCCTTGGCAGTTCTAGGTATAAATGGTCATTTAAGTTTTAATTTTTATCACACACACCAAAATTCACTTAATGATTAATAAATCCATTTTAGGAAAAGTCATTAACTTTAAGATGGTAGGGGTTTTATTTTAACAAAAGTACAAGCATTTGTCTCCTCTTTTAGATGCTCCAAAGGTGCGGCTGACACCAGCAGGACCCATGCGGGTCAGGATCGGTGAACCTGTGTCTATCGAGTGTCGTGCAGCAGGCAGGCCACGCCCCAAAATGACCTGGAAACGGCAGGGCTCCACCCTACAGTATGTCACTCAGGAGATAAATGATGTCAACACAATACAGGTACAACATGAGCACAGGCCTGTGACATAACATTTGATCTGTGTGTGTTTTTCTTTATTTCAAACTGACTACCGTTTCCTTGCTCAGTGGGCTGTAATACACCCAGAGGACTCAGGGGTTTATATCTGCCAGGGTGAAAACACCGAGGGGGTGACCGAGGTCAAAATCGATTTGATTGTGGAGGGGGGACTTGGAGCACCTGTGGCTACAGTGAGCTCTGAGGAAGTAACTGCAGTGGAGGGACACACAGTCAAAATGTCATGTGCGGCCACTGGTAGGATGTTTCAGTGTTTCTGTGAATGTCTCTCAGTTTTGCTCACATTATTTTTCACTTTGTTTTACCCTTTTTGTTTTTCTTACTTTCAGGTTCTCCAACTCCTGTCATCACCTGGTCCAAGCTGAGAGCACCATTGCCATGGAAACACACAGTTGCTGGTGGAGTTTTGACACTGACCAGTGTGGGGCGCCAAGATTCAGGACAATACATCTGTAATGCAACCAACATACACGGCTACAGTGAGGCGTACACTCAGATGGAAGTGGAGAGTGAGTCTTCATTAGAGAGAAAAAACACACATACTCAGAAAGAGCCACTCTCTGTGTGTGTCTGCTCATGATAAGGGTTAATATCGCCTCCTCTCTGCAGGTCCTCCCTACGCCACCTGCCTGCCTGAACAGGTAAAACTCCAGCCCAGAGATTCCCTGCAGGTTCAGTGCCTGGCCCACGGCTCTCATCCCATTCGGTTTGAGTGGAGCCGAGTGGGCCGACCCAGTCTGCCTGCAGGGGCGGAGACCTCAGCGGATGGAAGGCTGTTTATAGCTCACATTAAACAGGGAGACGCCGGCACCTACAAGTGCGTGGCCACCAACCACGTCGGCTCCAGTGAGGCTCAGGTCAAAGTGGTTGTTAAAGGTGAGCTGCTCTTTGTATTATGCAGATAGATGCCTGAAAGACTTGATCTCTGCTTACTCCCTAATGTTCTTCCATATCTTACTTGTTTTACAGCCTAGTCAGTGTCGTCATCACACAGTATCTGACCGACAAACCATCATATCATCCACTCAACCACTGCAAGCCTGGACTGTTGCCAGCAAGACAGTCAAAGAGTTAATCCTTAGAAAACAGAGAAAATTATATCAAATAGATTGATCAGTTTTACTGTATTAAAGGGAATGATTTCAACAATGTGAAACTTCATGTTATAACTCTGCCCGAGGGTTAATTTTATACTTTTATAGAAAACTAATGATGTTGCTGCTCTTGTCTGATGCCTGCCTTTAAAAAAAGCCTTTCTCTGGATCATTGTTTGGACATCCTGCAGTATGTGTGTTTCTTCAGCTGGAATCCCTTTCCTGTCCTCCTCATGTCATATTTAGTCCACGCTGTAGGGCTGTAAGATGAGGAAGCAAGGCAAGAAACAACAACAACAACAACAACAACAACAACAACAACAACAACAACGCCATAACCCTGTGCTGATTTACTGTAACTGCCTTTATTAAGCTGTCCATATCATAATGGAAAAGGCAAAATAAAAGGAAAATTCAATCTAGCAAAGTGGTTGTAAGACTATTATTTGGCATCACTATTTGTGTTAAATTGGAGGATATGAACTTTTTTTGTTTGGACAAAATTGGGGAAAATGTCTCTTGTCTAAAATAATGGTGTCTCATTTTTACTATTATAATCTCTAGTTTCAACCTTTTCTTGTTTAATGGTGAAATGTAATAGGATAACATTTTCTAAAAAGAGTCAAAAATAGCTTCTGTGTGTAACAGAGCTAAACCGATGAATTCTCGAAGGCAGTAAGTTTGATTTCTAATAAAAAGTGATCATTATCAGACGGGCATACACTTCTTTTCCTCGTCTCAGTTCTTCATTGTCAGTATCTAATCCTACATTACTCACATAACAACACATGCCACACTAATGGGGATGTTGGGGGGGCATTTTAGGTCTACAGCTATAATCAAGCTGAGAGCGATTTGCCTCATGCAGAGTGGAGTAGTGGGATGTGTACACTCCTCTCTTCCCTATTCCACTCAGATTTATAATATATATACATTTTTTAAATTAATTTAAACATGATGTTGATGATGTCAACATGATGTTTTTGAAGCCTCAGCTTTGGCACTTTCTGGCTGCTATGTTTGTTTTCTGGATCTAGGATCACCCTATTTGGATGTAAAAATTGACTTCAGGCTTAAGTGACAAAAGATCCTCATTGTAATGGTGGCTGTCCGAAGACAGCAGATGTAATGTCACTTGATTGGACACTGAATAAAAAAATACTTTCATCACTGAGATCAGGTGTCTTTGCGCGAAAATCTAACATTTTTGCTCTTATGCCATGGGAAACAGAAAAATGAATATATGCAAACTCTGAATGACTTCATGAGCCAATAATGAAATATGAATAACTTATATTTACCGAAACAAGTAGAGGTTTAAAGGCATGGTTGATGATTGGAGAGATTGGTAATTATTATGAACCTCGTTTATATGGCGATCATGGTCCTATAGTGCGATCTCCACAAAGTGAAGAGAAAAAAGAATCCGTTCACCATAGCAGGTGCAGGGCTGCAAAAACATTGACCAATGGGAGCCATCTGTCCTGGACAGCTCCTATTGGTTAATCTCCTGCTCCGCCTCTCCATCCAATCCCCTCACTGTATTCGACACACCCCTCTCCCGTGTGTTCAGCTCATCTCCTCCCACTCTCCCGGCTCTCCTCGGAGCTCTAAGTGGCTAAAAGTAGCATAGCAGCTTAGCTACAGGAGCTGTGATGGAGAAGGACACACACACACACAAAAAAAAACACTTCTGCTTGCCCCACCACCAAAAGTGCTAAGGAAACGCAAGCCCGCAGAAGAAAGGGGAGACACGAAGAGGAAATCTAACTTGAATAAACATCAGGTCATCCTTTGAGTGGTGGAGAAAGCTCTGCCAGGATTTGGGCCTGAAAACAGACACTGAGACAGCAGAGTTTTTGTTGAACAGGTAATTTTTGCCTTTTATTGTGGCACATGTTACATAGATAACTCTTATTAGTCTCTGCAATGTCAACACAGTAGCTGTCCAGGCAGCTGCAGACGGTGCTCGCTGGCAGAGCTGGCATTTACTGCCGCTAGTCACTAGCAATGCGACATGGTAAATTCTGTTTGAAGCTAGCATAGGATCTTCTGCCGGTGGGACACTTTTTTTCAAATCTGCTTCAACGGCTCAGTTTTTTTCAACTGCTTCTCCAATCGTCAACCATGCCTTTAAGTATGAAATCCCCTGTATCCACGACTCGAACATGGCAAGCAGTTCAGTTCCTGAACTAGCTATGGTGTGATCAAAATAAAAGTCAATCAAAAGTCTTCATTGTAAATAATTTTTAGGCTTCAAGGGCTTAATGTTGAAGTTCAGTAAGATGAAAAGTATCCAGCCTCAAGTTGCCACTGAAGAAACTCTGGTTGCCACAGACCAATCAATACCAACTCAAATCAAGAAATTTGTCTGCCTTCAAAAGGCTGCTTTTGGAGCCACAGGAAGGTATTAAAATGACGCTGTATCAACAGAGAAACTCCCCATAAATTGTAAACAGAATTTGATGTTAAGTTTCTCAACCATCAGGCTGCTGTGCAACCACATTTTGTCAGCTCTAATTATGGACTCTCTACAGTTGATAAAGCCTATGGCTCTAAAAGACACTGAACATTTCTTGATCATTAGGACTGTCAAATACCGTCCACAAAACAGTGTCATTGTAAATTTAAGCATCAGTGATGGTCCTTCCATTAAGATATAGAGCCATGATACATGATTAACACCAGCTATTCTTGAACCACATGATGGCACTATAAAGCTTTGAGGCTCACACACACACACACACACACACACACACACACACACACACACACACACACACACACACACACACACACACACACACACACACACACACACACACACACACACACACACACACACACACACACACACACACATTTCCCCGAAATCACAGATGAATGTCTGAGTTTTAACCCTGTAACAACTTTATGGACAGATGTAGTGTATGGTTAAACTGTTGTTTTTTTCCAGTGACGTGATGTTTTAATAAAGCCTCCTGCTCCTAAACTCTCCAGCTCCCCAAAGAAATACAGACTGTAAAGTAAATCTCTTCTTACAGAAAGGTCAATGTGATCAGAGAAACATGCTGCAAAACGACACACTGGCAGCTGTGTGGTACATAAAAATTTAAAGTTGCGCTGACGAAATGAAGTGTGAGCTTGACATTTGGGGTTTGTGGTTCCAGTAGAAGCTTGGAAAAGAAGGAGAGATCATTTCCAGAGCTGCTGCCAGGATTGAGCCTATATCTGCCGCTTGCGATTGTGGCCTCCCTCATAAAAGTGCCCCACCTCCACAGAGAAACAAGCTTTACCCTTTCCACTAGTCCTCCCTCCATCTTTACAATCATCTTCAAAGCTGGGGAGGAAACATCTGCCCCCTGTCACCTCACGCCGCCCCCTCACTTCACAGACAAGCAGTGGGAGAGAGGGAAGATGCAGAAGGAGAGAAAATAAAAGATCTACAGAGGATAATAACTACAGAGGATAATAGAGAAGGGGAATATTTGTATATTTCAAGTTAAAATGACTGAGGAAGAACAAAGGGGAAGAATATCTCAGTGACAGTATGAAAACTTTCTTTCATTAAAGTTGATCAGGCTCTTTCTCTTCGTACGCCTTTGTGTATTTACTCAACATGAACATATGGCCTCTAATAGAGGCTGATATAAACACAAAGGAGTCCAGACGACATCTCAGAGAGAGGATGTGCGCACACACTTGCAAGGAGAGTTTGTCACCATTTCAGCAGCTCCACATTAGTTTATATTACAGTACTAACACACACAATTGTGTTACATTTACTCTGGAGCGCTCTCTGCTTATGTTAGCCTTAAGAGGTGAGGAAAGAAAAGAAATAACAGGCGATTTGTCTTATAGCTGGAGCACACAAGAAGAAGGAAAAACGTTCCTCTTCGCCATATATTATCATTTTAGAATTAAAATCTGTCAGTGTTTCTGGATAAAGACCAGTGTGAAGTCCATACAGCAATAATGTGGGAAAACCAGATCATAGAGGAAGGAACCAATGAGGTGAGAGCTTCCTCAGGAAACGATCAGTGGAGGGAGGGCGCCTGTCAAGTCTGTTGCCATGGTTTCCACCTGGTGAATGAGGATAAGCCATGGCGGGGCAGCAGCTTTGTGAAAACAACAGTTTCTTCAGGACAAGAGAAGATAGAGATCAGAGTTCCTGTATTGTGTTGCTGCAGAGCCAAGTGGAGCACAGGGTGATAATCTCAAACTCTACTGCCGTGAATTTTTAACATTGAGGCAGAGAAATGTTCCTGTGCAACAGGAAGCCCCGACAGTCTGCCCTGACTGCAAATCTGAGATGAATCATTTCATACAAATCAGATGACAGAAAGAGGAAGAGACAGTAATCTCTCAGAGAAAACAAAGTTAATCTGCTGTCAGGAAGGGCTTAAAACTGAGATGGAGAAGAAAATTCAACTCAACTCAGCTAAACTGAAACCTTATTTACAGAGCACACTTAAAACAGCTGGGGTTGACCAAAGTGACGTAAAGATTAAAAGCAACAGGGGTGATCAAAGTGCAATTTCAACAGTTTCAATAAATAAAATTAACACTAAAATACATCAACATAAAACACAGTGCTATAAAATGGAATAAAATAAAGTATAAATTAAAAAAATCTTGCTACATAACTTTCCATTAAACTATTATTTCTCTGGGACTCTCTGGTTTACATGGAATCATTTATAATGTCTTGGTAATTATGCAAATCAGAATCCTGACAAGGTGTTGAGGGGTATTGTTTTGCTATGTTGAATGTTGGTTAGAATAACTACTTGTTGGCTATTCATTATCCTGCTAATCGCCTGGCTCCCAACTTAAGACATAAACATATTGAAACAAAGAACTGATTGGAAGATTTAAAA